TGAGGCAACTGCTGGCAGTGATCTCCCATTGTAGTCCTCTGCTGGCAGTGGTCTGCTTACATGAGTCAACTGCTGATTCCAGAGTTCAGTGGTCTTTGAGCTTCTTTTCTGGGAGGGCAGCTTGGAGCCTTTCCAGTGTTTCAAGAAAAAGTCCCTTGCATGGTTTGCTCAATTACTTATTGAGTTCAGTAATTGAGATGGAGATCTTACTTGATGATACCACCTGATGGTACCACTTGATGATTTTTGAGTTTGATATGGCTATTATGTGATGCCATTGTTAACTCATGTATGAACCCGCTTTTGGAGAGCAGATTCCTTCTTTTGTAACCTCCAATCATTACCATGCTTCTTCTTATCTCTTTACCAGTTAGCACAACTTTGTTTTGGACATCTATGTAGATGTCCATGGAGAATGTCATTGTGTGAATATTGTCTTGGAGCTGGCTTGTGCTTTTTGAGTTTGAACTTCAATCCTAGGTTGGATTGAAAGCTCGCATTTGATTTGGATTTTCCAGCTCCTTTGTTTCTCCGGTTTCTTCTCATTCCCAATTTTTTGAAATTGGGTCCTTCTTCCAGATCTCATAACTTGATAGTAGCCCCCTGCTAACTATCATGTGCATGGAGTAGCTTGAAGATAAATCTTTTCAAAGTTGGCTACTCCAGCACCTTCCCGTTTTCATCGATTTTGAGTAACAGCCCACAAGTTTGTGGGCATCTTCCCTTGAATGCGTTTGGGCATCCATACCAATTTAGGACCATTTGGATTTGAGCTGATGGGTCTATAGCCGTTTGGATTTGTGTGTCCATGGGGAAAGGCTATATGTTTGTGTTCATTATTCCTTGAGTGTGGGGGAGAAGGAATATGAGTTTCAGAAGTCATCAGCTTTTTGGGAAATGTGTTGGTGGTCTTTGTTATTGGTTGCCAACCAATTCTTTGATTTGGTTGGTTATTTAGGGAGTTGAATTTGTAGGGAAGTTTGGATTTTGGTCTGGAGGAGGACTGAGTCCTTTTTATTGACAGAGTTTGGGAGTGAGGTGGTTGGTGATTAGAATTCCTTGTGTCTAGTAGATCTGGGGTGGGTTTTGTGATAGGAGAGTATTTAGGAGAGTGTTTCAATGGTTGGGCTAATGGTGTGTCTCCTGATCCTGTGTTCTTCTTGTTTTGGATTTCCTCACCAATAGGAGTGGTGAGGGAGCTCAGCCTTTCTTTTAAAACGATGTTTTCGAGTTCAAGAAAATCTTTCATCTTTATCACTTCACCCATTTGAGCTTGGGCTACTATTATATTTTCTTGAAGTCTACAGTTTTCGTTCATTAAAAGAAGATGATCCTTTTGAAAGTTTTCAAATTGATGGAGTAATGCCTCCATGTCTACACTGGAACAGCTAGAATCATATGAGCTATTTGAAGAACAGGATAATACCTCATCATTGTCAATACTTGTTGTTCTTATCAAGGAGCAGTTGTTGGAGGAGTTTTCAGGATGGTCCATTCCATAGAGACAGATCAGAGTCTCCTCCTTACTCCCTGATGAACTGCTTTCATCACTTGAGCCTTTTTGATCATCAACTGATTGAATCATTGAGAGCTCATCCCATACATCCTTGGTTCTCCAGTCATCATACATATTTTGGTTAGACAAAGAATTTGTGGCTAACCGTTTGTCCATTTCAGAAAGTGTTTGGGAAGTTTAGTGGTTTGGATCTTTAGTTCAAATTAGCCAGAAACCGACTCTAAGAACACTCCGCTCTGATACCACTTGATGGTCCCGGATAGGGTGAAAGTCTAGGGGGGGGGGGGTGAATAGACTTTCAAATCTTTTCGACCTTTTCAGATATTCCCCTCTAGAAGAGTTGATCTATAATCTTTTGATAGATTAATAGATGCACAGCGGAAGTCTTTACCCTTTATGTAATGTGTAACAGCTTTCTTGTGATGGATGAGAGTCTTTGCTTATTGGTGAGCAGTTGGCTAGGCAGTTGGCTAGAAAGCAGGGAACTGCTTAGTCGTCTGCTTACCAAATACTTGAAGTATGATGAGGGTTCATTCAGAATCTTTCTGGGAGTGGGAAGAGCTTCCTGATGATGTACTGAAGTGGATTGATAATCAACATTAAATGAGAGCAGTTGTCTCAGCAGTTGGGTGGAAACCAGGGAACTGCTGAGGCACCTGCTGAAGTAATGGTGAAGGTATGGAAGGTTTGATTATATGGCGTTGCTCAGGATGATGTAGGCTTTATGAAGATGTGCTTTGTGCCAAGTAAGTAGAGGGTTTTACTTAGGCAGAGGTGTAAGGCAGTTAGGTGATAGTGAGGGAATTGTAGAGGTACCTGCTTGGTTATCTCCCTGAATCACAGAGATTATTTTGAACAGACTTCTTGGAGATAAAGATGTAAAGGTCTAGTAGTGTCAAGATGTTCACAGGAAATACTTTTGGGTGAGCAGTGGGCTCAGCAGTTGTGTAGTCCTTAGGAGACTGTTGAGGCAACTGCTATGCCTTAAGTGGTATTTCCTGAAAACTTAATGAGACAGACCTTTTTGTGGTGATATGGTGAAGCTCTTGTATCTCAAAGAGAGTGAGTGATTAAGCAGTAGGATAAGCAGTTGAGTCAATTAAGACAACTACTTAGGATGCTGCTGGCAAACTCCAATCTTTATGTGAGAAGTGTTCAGTGTGTGCTTTGTTGACTGAAAGTAAATCAACACACAGTATATCCTGGTTCAGAGGTGGTGTAATCCTCCTACATCCAGTCCCATCCTATTTCAAATGGATTTCACTAATGTATTAAACCCAATACACTTAGTGCCAATCTAGCCTTGACAACTCTGGCCTAGATTGAAGGTGTTTCACGAGGAGTACAACACCACTCCAAGCTACTCAATCCTTTAGGTTTTTCTCAATTGATCCAGTGGGGATCAAAAGGTACTCCTGACCTATCTACCAACACTCAGGCCGGGAACAACTGTCCTCCTGAAGTGTTTTCCAACAATAATCTGTTTGGTTTTCAAGAAAGTTCTAACCTCCAACTAGGAACTAAACTTCTAGGATTTTGACAATGAATGCTTGATACTAAGAAGTTTAGTGAAGCAAGAGTCTAAGTAGAGAGTCGTGAATAGAACATCACTTTTTGCTCAAAGGAATATCTCTCTACTTAGTGTGCTCAGGCTTGGTTAGAAACTTTCGTTTCTGCCTATATTTATAGGCTCTCCGGTCAATCGATCTTATCCGTTGGTTAGGATAGATCAATCTTGTTCGTTGAATCTTGATCGCAGAGGATAAACAACTTGTTGTTTATCTTTCTCTTTGGAGTGTATGGGTTGTTTTTGTTTTGCCCGCCTAGCCGCTGCAGTTCTCTTTAGGCTTCAGACTGTACGCCCATGCTGTACGTCGGTTCTCCATGCTGTTGATTTACTGGCTCTGTTTTACCCGTCATGGTAATTTTGTTCGAACATAATAATTTTTAGGTCTAATAAAATTATACTGGTAGGATTTAAATATCCTATTAAAGGTAAATAAGTTTACCTTATTGCATTTTTATTGTCCAGTAATAATTTTATTAGTACTTAAAAATTGTACATTTATTTGTTCTTTCTTTGACTCAGGAAGAAATATGTTTTTGTGATAAAAGAAAATATATACCGGTAGGATTTAAATATCCGTTTCAAGGTAGAATTTACCTTATTGCATTTTGATTTTTCCGGTATAATTTTCTCGACACAAAACATTTTGCTTTTGTCTTTTCGTCACTTTATCTAGTATTCCGAACAAACTGTTTATCTAACTGGTAGGATAACAAATCCTTTTAAGGTAACAATTATTACCTTATTGCATTTTGTGTTCCAGCTTAATAAATAGTTTGTTTCAGATGTTTTTGTGTTATTTGATATATCAAAGAAATGTAACTGGTAAATCATTTTAAGGTAGTTTAAAAAATTACCTTATTTGCATTTTATTTTATCCAGTTAAATTTCTTTGATAATTGACACTTTGATCTTAACACATCTAAACAATACTTTACTAGTTAAGTCAACTGCTGGAATACATGATAGCTACCAAAGATGGGGAAGAGAAAACTATGGCATCATCAAAATACAAATTCCAAAATCTAGGGGACTAACAAACCTCGATGGACATTTTATTAGTATATTGGCTCGTTGCAAAAAAGAATTAAAATGTCGTTTCAATTAGTAATAAAAATGTCATATTGATTATCGATGTACAAAAAATGTCAATTTTGTTTTGTCAAAGTTCAATTTAAAAATTGTCATTTCGATTCGAATGATTGAAAATTATCAATCAAAGGTCTAAATTATCAACTTTTTTATTTCTTTAATTTTTTATTTACTTTATTGCTATGTTTTGAATTTTTTACTTCACACAAATATCAAAATATATTTATTTAAAATGTATTCAAAAATTTTAAAATTAAAACGATCATGATGTTTTAAGTCTGAGATGTATAATTTTCAAGCACAACCACTTTAATCTTTGAGATTCTTGTAAACGGTTGGGCCGTAGGCCGCGGGTAGGCGATGCCAGCAATCTGCCAACCTTCGCTTGTGCTATAAAGGGAAAGAAGCGTGCTACACTATCAGCAATTGCTTTTAGTGTAGCGGTAAGCGCAACGATACACAAGTGGTATCAGAGCCAAGGTCACGGGTTCGACTCCGGCGAAAGCATGCTGCGCAGCTAAAGGCTGGCAGGTACTGGGGGGGGGGGGAGATTGTTGGGCCGTAGGCCGCGGGTAGGCGGTGCTAGCAATCTGACAGCCTGCCGGTGTAAAGGGGTAAAGAAACGTGGCGCTTCATTTGTGCTATAAAGGGAAAGAAGCATGCTACACTATCAGCAATTGCTTTTAGTGTAGTGGTAAGCGCAACGATCCACATAAACTACATTTCAAGTTCCTAATAAAATTCTTATATAACTTTAAAATGTTATTAATGAGATTGAAATTTTTCCGATGTGATCTAATTCAATAGATATTTATTTAACGTGTATTTTTCCAGCTGCAAAAGTATAATATAATCTGATTTAATCTGTTTAAAACTTATGGGTCGGATCAGATTTAGTTTGAAACCCAAACCCCCGATAAAAATGTTCACGTGTAAGTGGAAGTGTGGGGAGGTATCGGGTATACACCCGCCAACTCGTATGCCAACCCAGTCAATTAACGAATCGTTTCATCTTGGATCATACACAGTGCAGCCTTGCACGAATGCTAGCTGCCAGGTTCTTCAGGTATGCGTTGCATTATAACATCACCTCCATGATCACGTGAGGTTCTGCAAACCCTAACTTCAGTCCATGCGAAGAGTGAGGACCAAAGCCAAACTCAAAATTTATAACTATTCTCGGTTTTCATGTTCCTGATTTAGTCATTTAAAATGTATAAATCAAGTTTTTTCCGTCTTTTAAAGTTTTGTTTCTCTTATCAGAACCGATACTGTTTCGATACTCCGTAAGAATTGCTTAATATCAAAGCGCCTACCGTTCTTACAGGTATGTGAGTATGTTAATTTATCTGTTATACATTTGTTTGTTAATGTGACGAATGCGATGGTTTCTGTTATATGTTTCATTACTGTATTGAGAAGAGGGACAAAAATTTGCGCAATTATTTTAAGATACTATATAATCTACTCCGTATGTTTCTGTCATTAAAAATTACGGAGTATTAATCTATAAAAAATACCGCGTATGTTAAAGTGTCAAGTATTGGCTCCCTCATTACAAATTGCTCAACCCTGCCACTCTAATCATATATTTCTGGTTCCGCCATTGGGAATTGGTGCAGCACGATAATCTGATTCTTGCTGATATGTGATACTGCAAGGATGCTCTTACTCCACTGGTTTCACCTTTAACTCAGATATGGACTTAAAAGAAGCTTTGCTGGCTGTTAAGGAGCAGAAGAAGAAGAGAGTAGTAACTCAAGCATGGAGACCAGTCTCAACTCAAAGTTCTAGTGAGGGTGAAGTTTCTTACTTCTTGCTGACATATTTCTTATCTGATTAGTGGTTAGTGGTTACTATATGGTCTCTGAAAGCTAGTGCTTCATAGGCATATACGGTTAGCTTTGATGTAGCAGTATTATTTGAACATTTTCATCACCTTAATTCCAACACTTTGTGGTTGATGGTGTCCGCATTTTATCTTATGCTGTTAATTTTTCGTTGTATGGTGCTCTTATTCCCTAGTTTAGTCGCATAGTGTTTATAAATTGCTCAAAACTGTCATTATACAAATTCATAATGTGTTCAAACGAAACCTAAATTTGCTATCAATAATATTCACAATCCATGAGTTCTGCATTGATGTTGTTCTAGATAATAGAACAAATCGATGGTGATAACTGAATAATTGGATACTTTGGGGAATCAATGGTGAAAGGCAGCTTCCATTTGGAAAATTGTCATGTTCTGAGCATGATAACAGAAGTCACGCTGAATAAGCACATCACACCCTCTCTCCCATGCCTCAGGTATTATTTCTAAGGGTGGTGAATCTGAAGCAGCTCGCTCAAATTTGTGCTCAAACACATCCAAGACCTGTACTGGAGGAAGTAATGCAGTAGGAGAAACAACACCTTCTGTTGATGAGCAACAAATTTCACCCGCTGAAAAGCATTCACTTTCAATAGAGGTAAATTCTGATGTTGAAGAGATGATTTTGTTGTCGTCTCTCCTTTGACTCATTGTTGACTGTTATCAGGGGTCACAACTTCTTGGATGGTGTGTTATGATCATTCCTTTTACTACGGAGTATAATACTAGTCAAACTATATGCTTTAGCTGATTTTGATTTTACTACGTATGTCACATTATGCTCCTCATTTCAAGTTTTAAACAGATTAAAACTTGTTGCTGGTTTGATATAGTTTGTGTTGCGATGATGCATTCTTGAATTCAAATGGTCTGTTATAAACTCTGAATATACAGAGCACCCTGACCTTATTTATGGACATTGTTTTTGTTGTCGCTGCAAAGTTTCCAAATATATGTGTGTAAATGTATCATAATATCTTAATAAAGTAAATCCTCTGCACTCATCACATCTAAGCAACTCTTTTCTCATCTGCATATGTGCTTGCAGGCAGGGGCTTCATTAATGCGTTTCATAAAGGGGAAAGGGTATTTCTTTGTGCAAACTTCTTCATTCAGTTTAAAATCGTTTACTGTTAACATTTGATAGTTTTTTAAACAGGGTATTTCTCTATAGACATTCTTCAGTCAGTTGAAAATTGATGTTCCATTAACATTTTGGGACTTGTTGAAACAGGGGAGTCACACAGAAAAAGATTGAGCAGGATATGGGTGTTCAAGTTTTTTTTCCTTTATCCCAAAAGGAAGATTCTATCAGTAAGTAGCATATTTCTGACTGAGTTAATTCTACATGCACTTTTGTATTGCTTTTTCATTTAAATGTAATCATTCTATTCATAACACTATAACAGTATTAATCCAAGCTACAACTTTGATAACCCTCTAAAAATTGTGTGCCTCAATTCTTCCTTTGTTTAGACACTATATGCTGTCAGATTTTTACACATTTACCATTCACACAAAATATTTCTTTTGCAGTTCCTTCTCTAACTTCCCATTGCATACATTGTTTACTTTAGTATATATCTCATTCTTCATCAATTCAAATTTTTCATGCATATGGGAAAAACATATGATGATTACGTTTGTTTAGTTTCATATTAGTATTCCTTCTTTACAAAGGTAGAACCAGGAAGGGCACCTAATGTAAACCTTTGCCAAACCTATTTCATGAATTTATAGGTGTACGGTTGTACATATTCTTTGACCATGAATTGATAGTTCGATACTATGAACTAACTGGACTATCTACTTTCTTGCAAGTTGCAACCAACCCCAACCTAGTTGGGAATAAGGTGGTGATGCTGATATACATCTCCAACCAAGCATTCCAGCTCAGCTGGTTGTGAGGTTACCGTGCCTAGTGAGAGGTCACTAGTTCGAACCCCGCTAGGCACATAAGGGTTTGAAACTCAATGGAGTGTGTTTCAGCCCTGATTACTCCAGGCCCCCAGCCCCCTCCCCCAGACGCCCCCTGGAGTAAAAAAAAGCTGATATACATCTCCAATTTGATCTTTATTTCTTTCTGAGATTCATGGTTGTTCCAATATCTATGTTCTTCCGTGCTATTATATATTTGCACTATTCTCTAGTTCTTAATATATGGAATTTTTATATTGGTTTCTTATTGCAGCTATTGAAAGCAATTCTGCTGAAAGTGTTGCAGGAGCCTCAGAAAGAATCAAAACTATAATTGATGAGGTGTTTACTGACTCCTCATCCTTTACTTCTACAGAAAAGAGGAAATAATTGTGTTTTTGTCAACTGTGAACCTTTGTTTTAGGTCTTACCTGGCATTTTCAAAAGATACACTCATACACCCTTACCCAAATACATAAAATAGTAAAGAAATATAAGTATTAATAGAAAGAAAATATAGTCCTAGTATTCTACATAAATGTAGATTCAAACCCCATGGGTATTATAACAAACCGCTGCAAAGAAAATTTTGAAGTCCTACTGAATAATGTTGAAGTTTAGAGGTTTTACCCTGGTGAACCACACATATGTGATTGTTGTCTACAGGCGGTTAATAGCCCAAATCTGGACTACTCCCACTTTGTGTCGCTTCCACTGGCCATACATGTTGATCTGGTAAATAAGCTCAACACCTTTCAAAGTTCAATTCTTGGAGCTACAGAAGTTAATGAAGAAGGGAATTTGGAAAGCAATTCAAATGAAGACACTTCAGGTGAGGAAGATGAGGGCATGGCTATTGGTAAAGCTCCAAAGGTCGTGGTGGAACCCAAAAGTAAAAATGATTGCAAGAATGTTAATGTTGATGTACCTAAGATAGCACTTGTTAGTTATGCACCTAAAGCTTCCAAGTCATCTACCACTGAAGTAAATCGATCTAAACTGCCCGGTACAACTTATGCATGTTTTTGTAGAACAGCAATGCCACCCATATTTGTAGTCGATACTTCATCTCTTGTTTACTAGAAGAATAGCATTCTTTCAACATATCATGACTCGGTTGATGCTACTTGTCTAATACTTCAAACTTGGAACATTTATAGTTGTGTAGAAACTTATATTATGCATTACTAATTTAATCTTTCCTTTTCAGTCACTTGGCTAAAGTAACTCATATATTGGTCATGTTACTGGTTTAGGGATTCAGAAGTCTACTTTCATTAATCCAAAAACATTTCACCTAACTGTACTCATGCTGAAGCTATGGAACAAGGCCAGAGTTGAAAAGGCTGCTCAGGTTTTGCAGGCAAGTTTTCTATAAAATGGCATTTCTAGGAAGTTGTGTTCTCTGCTCTCCTTAGAGTCTTCTATTTCATTATATATGGTTTCATATTCTATATTTTAATCTTTAGAGCATTTCATCAAAAGTAATTGAAGCCTTGGAGAACCGGCCTGTCTCTGTACGACTTAAGGGATTGGTAAGGCGTATACTTAATAAGATTTAGTACTTGGTTGTTAGTAAATACTGTGAATCTGACACATGTTTATGGTATTTCCGTTTGTATTTTTCTTTGGAAAACTTGTATTATGAAAATCTTGTTTGTACTTTCATTGAAAAAGAATTGCTCATATTTCCTAGATGGCCAATTAAAATGTTTTAGATGGGACTGCATCATCATCATCATCATTACCCCAGTGCCGCAAAGGCTCCCACCTACTGTGGGATAGGGGGGGGGGGGGGTCGGTGAAATTTAAAATGTTTTAGATGGGGACTGCTGATCAGTGAAATTTAAATAAATAAATAGTTTCTCATTTAACCCCCCATGCATCCATATTTTTAAGTTTTTAACCACTAGCGGGGTTACTTTGTAACTGCGTACGTGGAGTTAATAATTCATTATTTGAAATAGAAATTGCATTTTTACCCTTGCAGGAGTGCATGAAAGGTAGCTTCGCCAGTGCCCGTGTTTTGTATGCACCTGTAGAAGAAATTGGTAGTGAAGGACGACTTTCACGTGCTTGTCGTATCCAGCCTTTGTGGGCATATTTTGCTCCCCCTCCCATTCTTCAATTGCTTTGGGTGCTGATTCAAAATTGTCTACAGGTTGTCTATGTTTTTTGTTATTTCCTGAACATTCTTAGAAGTGATCATTGATGCATTCATTGAAGCTGGCCTTGTTCTTGAAAAGGATACACAACAGAAATTAAAGGTCACCTTTATTCTTCTAGACATTGTTGTTATTTTGGTTCTAGGCGTGCTACTAGCCCTATTTTTAATTTTTTTGCTACCCATTTAAATGCAGTTGCATGCCACTGTAATGAATGCAAGACACACGACCGGAAGGTAATTTGTGGGTTTATACTCCCACATCCTTAATGATACACACTCACACAGACACCAATACACGCAAATGTACATATACACCGTCACTTACAAATGGACGTATGGATAAGATCATTTTTTCATTCAAAAATACACTGGCATAATCATAGTTATTGGGAACTTTAGTAAAAAGTGCATCATTGTGTACACAAGAGGCACTACTGTGCATTGATTATGAACAACCACCACACTTTGTTGGCCCTACATGTTTTCCGACATGGTGCAGTGCTTCATTACAGAACTGTACTGGTATCTATACAATGATGCACTTTTTGTGTGCTGAACTTCAACATATTTACTATTTGCCATAGAATTCATCTCATTTTCCACCTTAGATGCACTTTCCGTTTAGACCAAAATCTATATAATGCGTACGAGTGCGGGTGCATATATTGCAGGAAGAAGTGGCCTAGACATATTCGTCCCTTTGATGCAAGAACCATATATGAGCAATATGGATCTGAAGAATGGGGAGAGTATCTTATCAGTGAAGCCCATCTCTCACAGAGGTTTGCGTATGATGAAAATGGGTACTACCATTGTTGTGCTTCTATTCCTTTTCCTGGAGACTCTTAGCTACCCCTATGTCTCATGTTTCTCTTAAACAACTATTCATTCTCCCATCAACATGGAAGCTTGGTTTGCGTTGTATCTAATGAAATAATGATCAGCTTTCCCATTGAACAACTTGTCTGGTTTGTCGGCATTACCAAAGTTGGCGAGTTGATAATAGCTCGCCTTCTTTATTTGCAACCATTAGGTCATTAGCAGTGTATACCCACAATCTTGGGTGTCTCAGACTCGGCGTAGACTAGACTGAGGATATTAAACAGTTTTGGTGCACAAGTGAAAGTGAAGGTGATTGCATGTAGCTAACTAGTTGTCTGTACATGGCTTCTGTACTACCTCAGCTAACTAAGATAGTAGATCCTGGTCATCTCTTTCAAGCCTGTAAGGCTTTTATAAACCACGAAGCATTAATGGAAAAACAATATCACGGAGTACAATAGTGAATAGGTATTACGGAGTATATAGTAAAACAGACGATAGTAAACTACGGTATATGATCTGGGTGCGAGCACAGATAATCAGTCGCTTTATTGGTCTTTTCTTCAAACAATCGGTCAATTTTTATAATCAGTTTTTGTTTTTGTTTTTCAAACCGTTGTAAAAAAGTTACTTACTACTCAATGTTGTTAATTGGGTTTAATGATAGATTACTTTTGTCCTTGTTCTTCTTCACAGTAATTTTTAAAAAATCGTTTGTTTTTCGCTCATCTCTTATTTTTACTCTTAAAAATCTAATTTTCTTGTATCAAATTTCAATTAACAAGTCTTTTATGTTGATAAAAGGTGACTAACAATTCAAAACTAAATCGAATTATTAAGTTATTCGTTTTGTATCTTTTTGTTTTGAAAGGAAATTGTCCCACTATATTAGTTCAAATAATTGTTTGCCGATTGCTAAAAATACAATTTGGCGGATAATTGAAGAGTAACACCATCTGATTTTAATTGGGCTGCTCTAACTAGACAATGAACAACTTGTAGTCACAGACAATTTGGCGTTTACAATGAATTATCTCAATATTGGTTTCCCCATAAAGACTATGGCCCTCCTGTTTGGCACTCAGTGGTTAGCGAATTTGGTTAGCGGGTTGTAAATAGCAGATTGAATCAACGGATTTGACTAGCGGGTTAGCTTGACGGGTTGCAGAAATATGTTTGATAATTTAGCTGTTTGATTGTAGCGGATAGTAGGTAAAAAGACAAGGACATTTTAAAAAGATGAAATGAGCAAAATAATAAGAGTAAGACATTTGACTAGATCAAACCCACCCACTCTTTGAAAAGAAAAGATCAAACAGACCCATTAGTGTGAAGCTTCTTTGTTTCTTACCCAGTCGGGAACATGTAGAATCGTAGAAATCCGTCTGAATCTTCTTCTTCAATCACGTGAGTGTGAGAACAGGTAAATAACAATTTTCATACATCTCATCTAACCTTCACCAGACCATTAATTTCTCTAACCGCATCAGCAAAACTTAAGGGCTAGACAGTCTTTAGCAAAATCGCCGAACTCAAACGCTGCTCCAACCAACGTGTTGAGATTCGGCGTTTTAGAACAAAAATGCCACTTCTCTCCGCTATTTACCAAACGATTCATTCAGGGGTTTGACCAAAATCAAAACGGCAACTCAATTGAAACGCCAAAAAAAATTGCTGATCCGCCGTTTACCAAACACGGCCTATCTTATATCATCAATTACACTATCCAAATACAAATCCCCGGTAGATAGGGAGTGACACAAGGGCTAAATCTCACGTTCGAATCCCAGAAAATGTGATGAGAGGTTATAATGCTAAAATGCACATGGTCTCTACAAGTATCAGGATCAGAGCACCACTCTCTATCTGTCAGCTTGTGATTAAAATCTAAGAGGGGTGTCCCCAATTCAGATTTCGGAGGATTTTAATAGAGTTTAGAATTCCGTCAAAATCCAGGTGTCCCCAATTCGGAATCCGGAGGATTTTAATGGATTTCTGTGGAATCCATCAAAATACGGGTGTCCTCAAACATTCCGTGGATTTCTGTTGTTACTTATTTGCATGGATTTTAATGGATTTTGATGGATTTCTACATATAAAAACAATCCACCACAATCTTGTTGATTATCATCGGATTTCAAAATCCATGATCTTTTAAAATCCATCAAAGTCATGATCGGGGACATCCCCCTAATTTACGTCCTTCCATCTAACTGTTCGGTTGGTGTTGAGGGACCCTTAGGCATGGAGTGCCATCCTTTTCCCCTTCACTCACTACTTCAGTCACCCCCATTGTCCAACACGCTTGCAAATTTTGACATCCTTCCCGTATTTTGTTCAAGGCCGCATTAACATTGATTAGCTCCAGAGTTGGTTTTTCCCATCTCTGTTCTCCTTTCCTAGTCATTGGTTTTGATAATGCTCCTTCTCTTGCCCTTCTCCAACCCTGCAACACTGCTGCCCCCACTGCCACTACTTGCTCCCATGTTGGTATCGTTTGGTGTGTCTTTTGTGTATAAATTTATATTCAAAAGATATTTGGTAATTAAATTGCACTTATATTTTGGGGCATCTTATGTTATATGTCCATATTTTAAAGATTGCTACATTAGACTTTGGCATATTATTTAAGTATGAAATTGTATGAGTAATGAAAAATTTAGAAAAAGTAAAAGAAATGGTAAAAATGTGTGAAATAGAAGTGAATACTTAACAAACAACAAATATAGCAGTTATAGAAGAAGCAGATAGAAAGATATGAAGATATTTTACGCGAATCTGGTATACCGTATGAAAACCGGCTGCTGCTCTCCCTGGAGAAGGAGAGCAGCGGCAAACCTACTCTCTATCTTTACGCCTCGGCTCTTAGCCTCTATCAATTGTTAGGGTTCCCGTAAGTTAGCCTCCTTTTATAGGAGAAGTTGGCTAACTTACGGGTTACAAGGAAGCCCACGGGCTGATACACATTTGTGGCCCGTATTACACGATTAATTGATAACTACACAAATACAAAGATAACTAACTAGATTGAACACCATAAAATATTCCCAACAATCTCCCCCTTGGTGATCAATCGTGTTGAATCAGCATTGCAGCGCAGATATTTTTGTCTTTGTTGTTATTGAGCTTCCTTTGTCTTTGAACTTGACTTCTGAGGAAGGCTATCTGAAGAAATCCTTGCAATCTCCCCTTTGATGTCTTCTTGACAATTTGATCTTTGATGCCGGGGGTTGAGGGACCTTCAGTATCTTGCATGTAGTCCTTGCCTTCCAGAAGTTGCTCTTGATCAGCTTGGATGAAGTCCGGTGACGCCTCTAGAATGAATGTTCTTTGGAGAATAGGAGACGCCCATGGAATTCATCTTCAGGACAGGAGTATTTGACCTCTGTCTCCTCCACAATGTAGTCTTTTTGACTATTTGGAATGAATGCATTTGAGGAGAACTTGTCGGTGGCACAGCGGAACATAATGATCGTTGATTTGTGAGTGTAGCTGACCATTTGATTTGAGTTGCGGAGATAGTAGAGAGGGTGTTGAATTTTGTGATGGAGGAGTGAAGTGTCCCAGAATGATTTGTTCAGTGTTAACAGCATGTGGACCACTCTCCCCCTCATGACGATCCGATGAATCGGGACGTCATGCTTTTATTCTTTTATTCTGCGGAAATAAAAACATGAAAAACAAGCAGAATCTAAAAAAGATAACGTAGCCCCCCGGGGTCGTGAAGACACCCGTTATCATCACTATAGAGATAAACTCTAAAGCAATGGCCTGAGCAACAGCAGGACTTCCTTCCAATTATTGGTCTACATCTGTAATAGATGAGCCCTATGGAAGTTCTCGCAAGTCTTGAAGACTATCAACTGACTCTTAAATGTGTCTGTGTCCTAGAAAATTTCAAAACATTTGGGAAGTGAGTAACTAGACACGACGTGATCAATGAAAAATTCAGTGGCATGGGGCTGAGGCCACTGTAGTCAGTATTACTTGCCTCGGAAGGAGACAGTAATGAGAGATGCGGTTCCCCGTGAACTATGATTAAACACCTGTCTGTTGGGAGACAAGTGAGTGGTCTAGGGTAGGGTTGTGCATGCGCCGTTTGGACAAAATGCAGCGACTTCTACCCGGGATCTGAATAAATTCAGTCCTGAACCTATGGGGATAGTCCAGAGTATTTTAGTGGCTATGAGCAAATGTTCAATTCATAGCAGGCAATTGAGGTAGCAGACTCATCATTGATAATTGTTTTTCTTCTCACTTGAGTCTTCTGCTTCCTAATGCTCATAATGTTCACTCACTCACTCGCTCACTTACGCACTTACGCTCGGCTTTGTCCCTTGGATAGGCTTAGTTGGGTTTACTAAGCCATAGGGACATGTTCTCTCATTACTTTCTTCATTTTCTCTCTGTGCTCCCCCTCAACTGGAGCACCCGGTATGCTTTGTCATTGTTAGGCACCGGGGAGGATAACATTGAACACTCCCCCTAGAATGTTGCATCCGTTGAGAGATTCCTTGCTTTGTCGGTGTAAGGCGCCAGGAGGAGAAAACTGAAACTCCCCCTCAGAATGTGCAAGGATTGATTGCTCACAGCTTATCATACCCGCTATGTGTGTGGAGCAATCTAAACATGTACCACACATGACGGTTTCCCTGAACTCACCATGTAGGATTTCAGCATATTGATGAACACATAATGTTGATGAGTCAGGGGAGGCTTCAGCAGTTGATTGTTGATTGTTGTAAGATGACCGTTGACGCGAGGTTGATTGAATTATCTACGATTTTCAGACCTTTACATTGAAGTTTAGAAAAGTTTTGACCTCAGGGTTGACAATGAAAGAATTTGAACAGATTTGCCTAAGTTTTAGCCTGGACATCGGTGATTTACAATGTTTGTCGGAAAACTCACGTTTTGACCCTCAAAGACTGCGAGTGAGGGCGCGTGAGAATGGGTTCTGGGGTAAACCCCTAGAATAAATAAAGATCTATGCGTTAGCTTTCCAACAAAAAAAAGTTTGCTCAAATCGGATCACTGAGTCAAAAGTTATGGCCAAAACAGTGCGGTGTCGCAGAAAATCTCTAATTTTGAGTTTTTGAGGAAAATCTTCGAGGTTGAGGTTCTCGATGTTGAATTTCGAGAGCAGGTGAATTTAAAAAAAATTCTAAGGCAAAAACTCGAAATCCAAATCTGGAGATTTTAATTTCGAGTTTGCCTTGAAGAGTAATGACGAAATCCACCTGCAAAACAGACCTCAGAATAACGAAATCTTAAGAATTTCAAAATGTTTGGAACCTCGAAAACTTTGGAGTTTCGAAAAATCTCATAATCTCGAAAACTTGTTGTTTGAAAAACATCAGAACATCGAAAACTCCTGAAACATTTATATAAGCAGGGAATCATTCAGAGATCCTTATAATGTAAAGCTTCGATGAACTGCAAAGGATGTCAAGATTCGAATTATGAGTTCCAAGAAACTGCAAACTTTGAAAGATTCAAAACATCGAGAAATTCCGAAAATTCTGAAATTTTTTAGAATGTCGAAATCCAAAACATCGAGTTCCTAAGACTCGAAATAAATTCCAAAACTCGCAATTCCAAAACTCTCAAATTTTTAAAAACTCGAGGTTTAAAACTCGATGTCATGACCGCGAGTTTACAAACTCGAGTTCATGACCGCGAGTTTACAAACTCGAGTTCATGACCGCGAGTTTACAAACTCGAGTTCATGACCACGAGTTTACAAACTCGAGTTCATGACCGCGAGTTTACAAACTCTCGTTCATGACCGCGAGTTTACAAACTCTCGTTCATGACCGCGAGTTTACAAACTCGAGTTCATGACCGCGAGTTTACAAACTCGAGTTCATGACCGCGAGTTTACAAACTCTCGTTCATGACCGCGAGTTTACAAACTCTCGTTCATGACCGCGAGTTTACAAACTCTCGTTCATGACCGCGAGTTTACAAACTCTCGATTTTGAAAACTGTCGAATTTTGAGAATCTGAAAACTGTTCTGAATAGCCCTGAAGGTCGCGATCCCTCCTGTATCTGTTTCAAGTCAAAATCGTTTCTGCAGGCATATAAAAGCATAAACTCGAGTTTCCAAGGAGAGTTTTTCGAAAATGAAAATTTGCAGAAAACGAAAAAGAAGATATGTTGTAGAATCGGTTTTGAGAGGCGATTCCAACAGTATAATTTTTACAGATTTTCGTTCACAAACAAGATTACAGGAGCAAAACTCTATATGAAGAAAAAGAGAAGAAAAGCAGAGCATTCTTCGTTAGATCCAAGAAAATCGCAGATACATTCAACCTGTTTCACGCCTCGGCTCTGATACCAATTGATATTCCCTGAATACTTAACAAACAACAAATATAGCAGTTATAGAAGAAGCAGATAGAAAGATATGAAGATATTTTATGCGAATCTGGTATACCGTATGAAAACCGGCCGCTGCTCTCCCTGGAGAAGGAGAGCAGCGGCAAACCTACTCTCTATCTTTACGCCTCGGCTCTTAGCCTCTATCAATTGTTAGGGTTCCCGTAAGTTAGCCTCCTTTTATAGGAGAAGTTGGCTAACTTACGGGTTACAAGGAAGCCCACGGGCTGATACACATTTGTGGCCCGTATTACACGATTAATTGATAACTACACAAATACAAAGATAACTAACTAGATTGAACACCATAAAATATTCCCAACAGAAGGTAAAAAGTATAAAAACTAAATGTAATTGTGTATTTTAAAAGGAAAAACTTATAAAAAATGAAGGTATGTCAAACTTTTAAAAACATTCTAAAAAAAGTGTAACAAACTTTAAAATTACGGAGGGAGTACCAAATATTTGTATTTGTCATTAAAAAGTACCTCAAGTGGCATAAAAGTAGGAAGACTAAAAACTGACGAATATACAATCATATATTAAAAAATATACTAGTGAATTATGAGGAAGTTATATTTAAAATATACTATCTCCCTTAATTAAAGATCAAGCTTGACTTTTGAGTCAAACTTGTTAAATTGCGATTGCTAATTATTCAAAATTAACAATATTTTATTAAAAAAAACTATTGAATGCGCTTCAGTGTAATATGTGTTATTCAAATGTAATTTTATTATAGATTATATAGGTATATATTTATAGATAATTGTGATCAAACGTCCATCTTGAAGAGCGCAAAGTCAAACTCGGACTCTAATTGTGGAACAGGGAGAAGTATTTTATAAATACAATGAAGAAAAAATTATATAGAAAATAGGCAAAATGATATTTTACAATAATTTCAGACAATTCACCCCAAAAATAACTTCAACCTTACCTTTTTATCACACAACTCAGCGCACGAAGTCAAAAATTTCGTGTCTAGTAAAAAAATTGGTCGATAAACTGAAATTTGAAGGTTTGTATTACTAAACAACTTTTTTTAAACTAAAGCATGTGTGTATTAATAATTACTAGTACTTCGTATAACTTAGAGGTGAGTTTGTCCCTTTTAATTGAAAAATAGGTGCACATACTAATTGTAAGAGTGTGCCATGTTTTTTACAGGAATATTACTAAAATAAAACATATTTACATAAATATGATTATTCATTACTACAATGTGGTGTTGTGGTAACTTAAGGTCAAAACTTGAACATAATTTACTATGATTTCATTACTATTTTAGTCACTAGTCATATTTTTGTAAATATATTTAGTTTGGTCATATTGTAATTATTTGGGGTATTTTGAGTTTGCACCACACTTTATTGTTGAAATTAGACTTGGCACCCCATTTTTAAAATCTTTAGTATTTGCACCCCAACCTTGTATGAAAAGATTAAAATACCCCTCACTTAACAATTTTGTTGGCCTTCAACATATTTCTGATCTAGGGGCATTTTTGTCTTTTCATCAGGGGTTGGGGTGCAAATACTAAAGATTTCAAAAATGGGATGCAAAGTCTAATTTCGACAATAAAGTGGGGTGCAAACTCAAATTACCCCTAATTATTTCTAATAAAAGATTAAAGTAGTATTTGGGGAAGATGGCGGATGCAGAGAATGTTGTTCGGTCTTTACTGGGGTTTCTTCAAGGGGAAGACTAGCAAGCCCATCTTAAGTTTGCTCCGCAATCTATGCTCTCTATTTATGTTCAGACTCTGTTCTTGATCATTGTTAATCGTCTGATGTATTAATCATACACATGGAGACACATGGGGGCAGTCGCAGAAGTATGAAGGAAACTGAATCCTCAAGATCCAGCCGCAGCCGCCACCGCCGCCGTCGAAGTTCGTATGACACGGATTCAGATTCCGCGTCTCCTGCAGCCTCAGACTCGGATTCTTCCAGCCGCGAGTCATCTCCATCCAGACGCAATCGAAATCGCAGCCGCCGCAGTCGTAGCAGGCGACACAGATCGAAGAACTCCAGTGATTCTGAGACGGAGGGAGATGATAGGAGGAAGAGTAAGAAGAGGAAAATCACGGATGAGCAGATTGCTGAGTATATGGCAAAGAAAGCTGAGAAGAAGTTGAAGAAGGCGGCGAAGAAACTGAACGCAAAACACAAGCTTTCTGGATACTCAAACGATTCGAATCCATTTGGAGATTCAAATCTAAACGAGAAATTCATCTGGGAAAAGAAAATCCACAGGGACATATCAAGAGGCGTTCCTCTCGAGTCATTCTCACTCAAAGCTGAAAAGGAAAGACAGAAAGAACGGATAGCGGAAATAGAGAAGGTGAAGAAGCGGAGAGAAGAGCGAGAGGTAGAAAAGGCTCAGCGTGAGGAGGAAATGGCCATGCTTGCCAGGGAGCGTGCTAGGGCCGAGTTTCAAGATTGGGAGAAAAAAGAAGAGGAATTCCACTTTGACCAAAGCAAAACCAGGACAAAGATCCGGATCCAACAAGGGAGAATCAAGCCAATTGATGTTCTCACCAAGCAGCTCGATCCTTCTGATGATTTTGACATAGAAATCAACGAGCCCTACATGGTTTTCAAGGGTTTAACTATGAAGGAAATAGAAGAGCTTCAAGAGGACATCAAACTACACCTTGACCTGGATAGGGCTACAGAAACACATACACAGTACTGGGAAGCACTTTTGGTGGTTTGCAATTGGGAATTGGCCGAAGCAAGGAAAAAGGATGCTATGGATCGAGCCAGACTGCGTGGAGAGCATTTACCCCCAGAGTTGCAGGCTGAAGAGAGGGGTCTGCATTCTAGCATTGAAGCAGATGTGAAGCTCCTCTTGCAGGGTAAGAGCTATGAAGAATTGGAAGCTCTCCAGTCTCAAATCGAGTCCCAGATGCGCTCTGGTACAGCTAAAGTCGTTGAGTATTGGGAAGCTGTTCTTAAGAGACTCCAGATTTTCAAGGCCAAGTCTTGCCTTAAAGAAATCCATGCCAAAATGTTGCGTAAATACCTAGAATTTCTTGAAAAGCCATCTTCTGAGAAGAAAGATGATGAAAATGATCTGAACTTTATTAAGCCCGACAATGAAGAAGAGGCGGATGACCATATTCAAAAGGAAGATAGAGCAGTTTCTGTAGAGCCTGTGCTGATTGAAGAAGATACTAAGGAAGATGTAAGAGTTGAAGATGATGATGATGATGATGAAGATGATATGTATGCTGGATCATATTCGCCTGTATTAATAAACGCTGACGAAAAGGAAGAAGCATTAGATCCTGAGGAAGACAAAGCCATGCTTGAAAAGAAGAGAATGTCAGTTTTGGAAGAACGTCGCCTTCAGGATATTATTATCCCAAAACCAGAAGATAAAATCTTTGAGAAGAAGGCATTGAAAGCCATGGGAGCTATGGAGGAAGGAGACACAGTGTTTGGCTCTAACGATGAAGTTAATATTGATTCGCAGGTTTACTGGTGGCACGACAAGTACCGTCCTAGAAAACCGAAGTACTTCAATCGTGTTCATACGGGATATGAATGGAACAAGTATAACCAGACTCACTATGATCATGACAACCCACCCCCTAAGATTGTGCAGGGATATAAGTTCAATATATTTTTTCCGGATCTAGTTGACAAGTCAAAGGCCCCAACTTTTGTGATAGACAAGGATGGAGATAGCGTTGATACTTGCATCATAAGGTTTCATGCGGGCCCACCTTATGAGGACATAGCTTTCCGGATCGTTAACAGAGAGTGGGAATACTCTCACAAGAAAGGGTTCAAATGCATATTCGACAGAGGGATTCTGCATTTGTACTTTAACTTCAAACGCCATAGATACCGTCGGTGAAGGGAATTCTTATATTTTTCGAGTGGCTTTATTCCCATAGATTTGTATTTGAAGCACTTTATGTCACTTTGGCCCTTGCTGCTGCTATTATTCATTATGTAAGCCTTATTTTTGAATCTGTTTCTCTAATATTTGGCACTTTTCTTCTTTTAGTTGTTTTAATCCTACCCAGTTGGGTCAACCTGTGCGTTCTGTACTTCAAGGATCTGTCTGATTGAGGGTTTTATGAGGGGTTTGAAAAGATTAATCTGTATCTTGATATGTATTTAAGATGTTATAAAAGTTTTAAAATGTTAACATCATATCTGATCGTGTAGCATTTCATCATCTTTCTCTGTCTTTAGAATCATTTTATGTATCCAGATATATACAAGTTTTTCAAAACTGAAAGCACTTCAAAACCATTCATCCAACCATACCATTCAAAATGTGCACGCAGTTGTTTTAATGAGTAATATTGACATTCTTCATGGATGAAAAGATTTTGTTAAGTAGCAGTCCTTGCTTCAGCCTAGTAGTATTTGGTACTAGAGCTACTTACCCGCACGGGTAGCTCAGTTGGTCGAGTGGTGGGAGATTTGGAACAATGTACCAAGGTTCGAATCCCCGCAGCGATCGGGTGGAGGTCACAGAACTTGAAATAAGGTTGAGCCTCTGGTGCACACGGGTGTATGGACCTACTGCCATTCTGCTGATTAAGTCACCGTGACTGATCTCCCTACCATCCTGTCGGAGATTCCACCTTTTCAAACAATTGGAACAATGGTACTAGAGCTACTCAGTAATTTGCAATGATGCAGGGCCACTGTTCCAGAGAGCAATGCCATTATTTTCCTCCTATTGGCCATTGGGTAGGTCACTGTCAGTCTGTCATGCAAATACTCAGCAATGGCTCTTATTTTCCTCCATTCGAGAGCTTTAATTTGCTTACTCTACTTATGGATAATTGATAAGTGGCCATATTGTTGACCAAACGCCTTTTATTAGGCGTGAGACCAGTTTTGTTCTGGTTAAAATTAGATAGAATCATATTAAAAATTGTAGGTGTATTCTTTTTACTTTGAAGTAATAATGCAATTACTCCCTTCATCGAATTTCATGTTTTGATTTAAGATGCTTCATTGACAATAAAACAACTTGATCCCTGTTTAAACTCAGATTATTCATAGTAAATACTACGTAGAATTTATATATTCAGAAACTACATTAAGAAAATTACAAAGCCTGATCCAGAAAATTTACATTTGATAAAAATTTGATATATAAAACAAAAGATTGAGGGTGTTTTAAATTGACCATGTGAATAGTGAATGCGAACTTCATTTTGAACCTAAAAATAAGAGTAAAAATACTTGTTTTTTTTAAAATAGGACTAAAAATGTGTGCAAATCCCAAAACAGGAGTGTTAAATAGTACTCCGTAGTATGTTACTGTCATAATGAAAATTTCATTTAGTTTCATGTTTTGTCATTGCCGAGATATAAATATGGCAGTATACGAAGAAATTCTAAAAACACGAGAGTTTTGAGACTTTCATGCAAAAAAAACGGGACTTTGATTAGTGTATGAAAATACGGGATTTGAAAACTCCTATTCCGGGAGAAGCGACACAAGTGAGGTGGCTTGCCAAGACGCTATGCATAAGGGAAATGGGTGGGGCTAGGCTAAATATAAATAAAAATACTCCTTGTACACACTTTTTGGGGTACACACTTTTACACATTGTCCGTGTAGTTTTTTTTTGTCTGTACAGACAAAACGTATTTTGACGAAAACACATTTTGTCTATACAGACAAAAAAAACCTACACAGACAGTGTGTAAAGTGTGTACCCCAAGTCCAACTCAAATATAAAATTCCATTTTTTGAAGTGTTGTGATTTTTTTTATGTGTGCTCCATTTTTTATAAAAATATATCAGAATTCATATTTTTATGGTATTTCATAAGATTTTCATATGAGATCAATATTGCATATATAAAGTTTTTTAAAAATATTGAAATTGTAGAAGATTTACTGTGATACATTTTTTTTTAAATAGATACAAAAAAGTTTTACATTAACTGTTGGGCTTTCCCATATTCTAAGAAAACATCTGTCAAAATACTCCTATACTCCTAAAAGTGGCAGTACAATCCTAAAAGTGACAGTATTTTCCTATTTAGAAATTAAAAACGTAACACTTGTATTTTAGAATTCCAAAACACTTTTAAACCTATTTAGAACAATTATACGTAGTAATATTTTTATAATTTTAGTTAAAATTATAAATATTTTAGCTCCAAATAACAATTAAAATATTAAAATAAAGAAGCGTTTTTCAAATAAATACGGAGTTCTTTCAAAAAATAAAAAAATACAGAGTATGATTTTGCTCAAACGCCAACTCCACTGGCGACGATTTCACTGCTAGTCTGCTAACTCTGGTAACTTTGGGTGCGTGTATTGCAAAACTATCTCTTCTCAGAATGAGAGCAGGTACTTTTTTTAAACTTTCAGTCTTTCTCCGTTGGAGGAATGAAGTATTTGCTGGTGAACAAATAAAGAGTTCATCATAATCAAGAGTTTTTCTGCTCTTGCAAAGTCATAATTAGTAAAACTCAAGTGAATGTTGTTTCTAAATTGCTGAAGAGTCTCTGTCAGAAAGTAATTTTCTTTCCCGCAAAATGATACTCGTATTTTATTGGCCCTCAAATTGTGATTGCACTTTGAATAGTTTATGAAAAAACATTATAATGTTTTTTCCTCATACAAAGAGTGAATGGTTAATGCCAGTGAAGCCACTCCCTCTGTATTTGTTTCCATAACCTAAGCTCATCTGATAGATACTTTTAACCGTTTGAAGGAGGGGCATTTGTTGGAAATAGAGGATTGAGGCCAGTGCCACCAGAAAAGGGAGTTTTTCCTTTAGACCACTCACATTTATGCGACTCGGTATGTTTGTATAAACTATTGACCATTTTCTTAACATTTCTTCATATGCCATCTGTACTTGCTCATTTGGACTGACTTTTTTGGTTTGCTGATCTTGTTTGTTCATGTTTGGTCTAGTTTATTTTAGTTAATGTGTATTTTCTAGCTAATGTGTTACTCCGTATGTTTTTGTTTGATATTATGTGTATTTTATTTATTATGGAGTATGTAGTACTTCGTAATATTTAATGTTGGTTTGGTCGCTTTATCTGTAGTCTGATATAGCCTAATTTTATTTAAGTTCGATGTTAACTAAGGACTGGATAAGTTATACTTAATAGGCCCTAATCTATTATTCTTCATTGGGTGTCATTGTGCTGGCTGTCTTTAGGAGAAGAAAGATTACCTCAGCTGTTTGAGAACTTCTGGACATCAATCGGAAAAGTGTAGACAATTCTCAAAGAAGTATCTGAAATGTCGAATGGAGAAGTAAGGTCATTTCTTTCATCTCGATTGTATTTTCTTATAAGATCTCAGAATTCAAATAGTGAGCAATGCTCTGTGGATACGTGAGGGTTTGCAGAAACCTAATGGCAAAGCAAGACTTGTCTTAACTTGGATTTGGGAAGCAATATGATGCAGAAACTTCTTGCAAGGACAAAAAAATGAAGTTATCTTAAATGATTTCTTTTCCTTGTAAGTATCACAAATTGTTTCATTTTTGGGGGTGTTATTTTGAGGTTTATTGCAACGTAAAACCATTGTTATAGATTATTGAGGATATGGTTGAAATTATTCTGATATTCCCTGGAAACAAGTATTCTCTTTGGTGTTGATTTGAATATTTGATGACAATTATAAGTAGTTAATAACACATTTTATTTGCTTTCTGCCTTTCTGGGGAATTCTGGTGTTGGTATAAAATATAGGTATCATCATATAATAGAAGATACTTGATTTTGCTAGTGCTATGTAACTTATTTGGATGTTAGCATTTGATGTCGATGGAAGTTTTCCATCGCTTATATAGAAACATTTTGGCAGTCTTCAATTAAATATTTCATTTTTAGAATTTGCATTAACCATTTCTTAAGATGGTCTTAGTTAATTCAACCATCTGCAGCCGCAATTTTGTCTATATAACTTTTTGCAGGCTTGCACTGCACATCTTGTCTGTGCTATTTGCGGAGTGTAAATAACTAAATATTTACATAAAAGTTACCAAAATTTGAATTCAAACATTTCATAGTTATAGTTATAGTTATACGATCATCAAGTCAATGCCTTTATCCTTCATTAGTTTCCAGTCTTCGTCTATCAGCATTTCTCCAGGATGAGTTAGGATGTGGTGAGAGCTGATATTGACTTCATCATGCGGGGGTGCTGAATTACAACCAAAACTGAACCTGGCAAGCTTCCCTTTTTGGAAGATGAAGTCGGCTGCAAGTTTACAATTTGGAAATTGAGATAGTTACAATAACAATCCACATTGTGAAGAATTTGAATACAATCAGAATATAATGAATGGTAATAATCGAGATGTAACAAACCCCAAAACTTTTAGGATAGTTTTTTTCATAATAATGTCTAATATATGACTAAAACAAAAACAACGGACAAGAATGTGAGCTTTAATACAGAGTATAGTGATATTTCTGCAGTACCTGTCTCGAGTGTAGTGTTGTTTAATTTTACACAAAAATTATCACATTGGTACTTTTACATTGACTCTAGTGATTAGGTAGTCATAGTTTTGCAGGTAGTCTGATTCTTATTTTAGTATTATTAATTTATTATAGCAAAAACCCATAGTTTTAAATCATGACAATCAATCATAAATGGGTAATTTCCTTTAGTCTAGTAGTTTATACTTACCACACCAATGTGCCACTCATGGCTGTTGAAGTCTCTAAATGTAGCTCCATCCATTTCCTGCAAATATTTTAATCATAGTGTAGGTGACCTTAAGGTTTTGATTTACACCCTTAATATTATCAGTACAAAAAGGGGAAGATAAGACACATAGGGAACTATGTAATCACACATTACCGCTCACACTCAATAAAACTTACTGTCATTAAATTTAACTTACAATGCTATAGATAGGAGGCAATCTTCTCTTGCCTTCAGGTTTTAATGTAACACCAAAATTAGATCCCAAGTCTTTTGATTTGAAAGTCCACCTGAGACAATCATTACAAATAAATTAAAACCTATCAGTATATGCAAACACACCTACTATACCAAGTACACCACTTTCAGTTTTTATTTACTAGACTAGAAATTACCCAATGAATAAAATAATAGAGAAGTGTGCCCATTCACGAATCAACAACCGAAGCCAGTAGGAATCCACCGAACTTTCCATGTTTATGAATATCTGGGGAGTAAAAACACCATACTATAAGAACAAAGAACTCTACACTCTACTTCCTTTTTAAATTACTTCGCATGTCCCTGTTTTATCTTCACTCTTTCTTTTTTTCGTTTGTCCTTTAATTATCTTCTTTTTGTTATAGATAAGGATTTTGTTATTGATATTGTTTCTCCATTTAGACAAATATCCACCATACATTTTCTACATTCTGAAAAATTATGTTAGGTCAAAGGAGAAGATAATAAAGGGACATAGTGAGTATTACTCTTTAGACTAAAGCTTGGATGTTGTTGTTGTGGGTATTACTTTTCCTCCAACCATAATGTGGGGTATCATTTGATATTATTTGAATACATAGATAAAAAGTGAGATACCATAACTGCAAGTTCTGCAACAGCCACAATATGCATAGCACATTGAAATTTCCTGTAACAAAAAAAATGAAATCTCCATCTAGCAAATGGTTCTAGAAAATCACATGGTTTCTTTAATATGCTTACAACTAAAATAATAACTGAAAAGAAGGCAACTACATACTTCAACATGGTATACTTCATGTATATCGCATCATGCATACCAGGGACATCCTCATTTTCAACAATGGTCAATTGTTCCCGTAATAGCAACAAGTTCTGATATATGTGGCTGAATATCACATAAAACAGTATGGAATAGTTGAGCACCAGGAGAACCTATAAAACACAATGATAAAAGTTCTCACGCATCAAATAAAGAAAACCTGAGCCACATGGTTTGATCTGTAAAATGGAATAGTATTTATACAGAATTGAGATATGCACTAAAACATCAACATGACAGAATAAGATGACCTAACATGCACTGATTACCATACAGATGATCCTAACATGCATTTTATATCTTATATTCATTCCATGCGGGGAGTAACCCCAAGGCTTATACAAATTTTTATTCTAGTACTTGAGTTTATAGATGTTTGACCTACATCGGCTAGATATTGATCAGAAACTAACTAGAGAGATCTTGTGCTTATTCTTCTGTTAGGACAGAATTATGAGTCTTAGTACAATAGATGTGGTCTCAATGTCTCATATGAAAAAGTAAAAAAATGCATGGGCTAGGTAAGATGTTAGTTAGGCTGGAGGAGGTGTGGATGTGAGAAACAATTGCACGGTTCAAGTGTTCAACTAATGTATCTAGATGTGAGAGGAACAAAGAATCATGCTAGGCCTTGAGCTACACAAGTACGCAACCATATCAGTTTCACTGTTTCAGATTTTAGGATGAAACTCTAACTCTTAATAGTGATACACATATGAGCATAATGAAGAAACTCACTGAGAAATAAGGTATGGAAGCTCGATAGCCAATAAGAGTTAAGTAGAAAACACAGCCAAGGGAAGCAGTAGTTCGACGGTCAAATACAGATAGACTCTCACGGGTGATGCAATATCCATGAGAGATAATTAAGAATGCAACAAATGTCACTGCCTGAGAAAGGACTCCTGTCAAATATACCCCAAAAGATATCAACAACGAGCATACATGTGCATAGAAGCATGAAGACCTGCAAAACAACAGATTCAAATAATCAATCAAAACAAAAAACCCACATCTTAATACATAATATGGTGTTACATGCACGTATAAATATAGGTAAAAGGCATACCAGAAGAGGAAGCATAGCATAAGTTGTAACGCTTTGATTAGGGGAACGGAAGTTAATGTCCACTGCAATTTATTTATCTGCAATGCAAAGAATATTTGATATCACAAATAAACAAGAAAGTAAGAAAAAAATAAAAAAAGAAAGTAAGAAACACGAGTTGAACAAGCTATATGAGTATATCCTTGCTGAGGAATAAATTCTTACCAATACATGTTCCTCTCTTTTTGGTTGCTGAACTATATTAAAAGATGAATCAAATCTACTATCTATTTCAATTCAAAGTTTTGATTGAACTGTTTTTTCTGAAAACAATTGAATACAATCGTTTATTTAGACGAGTCCAAGGTTTGATGAACTCATTTTTGTGCGAGTAGTATTAGGTAAGGTCGTGGCACATTTCGTTCAAAAAAAAAAGATCGTGGCTCATTGAAGTAGATAAATCTTGAACTGTGTGGTCTTTTTGAATTTGCTCATTTGAGCTTAACTAGTTCTAATACTAATTTCATATATTAGCAGTGTTGGAAAGATACATTTCTAAGGGCATCTCCAATGGGAGTGGATTGTAGTGATGTGGCATAGGAGAGAGATATAGATAAAATGTAGACCTAGGTCTATGACAAGGTCCACAAATGAAACTTACACAGGATTCGTGGGCCCTACACATAAAAATTGTGAGATAGAAAATGAGATCCAATGTGTAAGGGTGTTTAAGAGACCACACTCTTGCATTGGAGATGCTCTAATACTCCGTGGTAAATAAATAAAATTACATGTGCTAGGAAAACAGTCAAATCACAATTGTACCAGCACCAGCCCCTCTAGTACCATACCATTTAGTGGTGAGGCTCCAAATCAACATCCTAAAAATGAAATCTTGGGTTTAAATTTAATATATCGGGACTCTAACAATATTGAAACTGACAAACATTACTTAGTCAACCGATGTAGAAACTGTGATCAGGCTGTGCAATAAGCAGATGCTTTCAAATTTCAGCACCAGGAGTACTACGTATTTCACAACCCAAAATACAAGAAATAAAATGGAAACGCAAAAAAATCAACTATCAATAATAGCATAATAGGAACCTGAAAATGGCGGGTGCGGCAAGTGTGATAGGTCCATAAACAAACAGAAAGAAACCAAACAAGCATCAACGAGAAGTACAGAAAAGGGAGCCTTGTGTATGATTCGGCTATGCCAATGTGACCCGGCCCATTTGAACCAGATGAAGATGCAGCAAACGCCTCCATTTCTACCGGCGGGGAAGAGCTGCGGCAGTTTCGCGGTTTGGGTTCTTCACAGGAATTGAAAGAGTCCACTTGCTCTGGTATTTATGCGGAGGCAAGCTCTCTCTTTATTTCCCGCATTTTGTTGATGTTATATAAAGGCAAAACTAATGCCAATCATCCCTATTTGAAATATTATAAAAAGGCAAAATTAAAAATAATAATTATTTTCGGTCCGCTATTAATAATCTCAACTATCGATTATTCTTGAGTGGTCCCAACTATATGAAACATTTTCCAAAAATAGTCCCTAAATTGCTACAACCTTGTATATCAGGTCAAATTTAAATGTGAACTATGCATAAATTATAAATAATCTCAACTATAGTCGATCTTCTTTTATTAATCGCAATTATAAACTCTCAATTTTAAAAAAATATAAAATAAATTCATAAATTTCCAAATTAAATATTTTTAAATATGTAGAAATAATTATGATAATTCTACCGGAGTTAAATAAAAATATTTTTAGTCATTTTTTATTTATTTTCAATAAAAATTAATTTTTTTGCTTTTTTCCAATTTATATTTCCTAGTTGTGTTAACATGTTATGATTTTGTATTATTTTCCTTTATTTAATTTTGCATTTCTGTTTTCAAAAAGTATATTGTGATTAAAAAAATTTACGACTTAAATCTTTATTCTAGATTATTTCATGAAAATCTATTTTATTAAATTATTATGCTATCTTAATTGTAAAAAACAAAATTCTCTATTTTTTCAATTATAGTATGTTTATTTCTTTCTATTTTCTTTATTTTATGTTATTATATTCTGTGTAGTATAAATTATATGATATAGTTTATCATTGAATTCTAGTGATTTGGGACATAGGATTTGGAGGTTTTGGCTATATATGTTAATGAAAATGTATTAATATTTTAATTTTAAGTGATACATTTTTTCTACATACTACGTATTTTACAATTTCCATTATATTATTTAAATTTACAATACTAACACATTTTCATTAAAAATAGCCAAAACCTCCAAAACTTGTGCTTCAAATCACTACAATTGAATGATAAACTATATCTTATAATTTATTGGATATAATAATATAAAGGCTTAAATATGTTTTTAGTCCTTGCAAATATGACGCATTTTGTTTTAGTTCCTTGCAAAATATTTTTCTTGTTATTCATCACTGCAATATACATTGTTTTATTTTTAGTCCATATCTAATTCCAAAACTACTGCACATACAAAAAAAGTCACTTCTGTTACATAATTCTACTAGAAAAATGTAAATTTGTTCTTTTATAATTTTTTTTAGGCTAATATGAGAGGTAAAACAATGTAAAACTGAGTATTCAAATTTTAAAAATATATTTATATAAACCGTCTAAAATATAAAATTAAATACTTTTTGAATAACAAAACAAAGAATTAGAGGAAATCTATTAATCAGGACTATTTTAAGGTCAACCGGAGGTTGTTATCATCAGTAATGGACTAAACAGAAAACCAACATAAATTACAGGGATGAAAAACAAAAAAAAAAATTGTAGGGATCTAAAACTAAATGTACTATATTTGCACGGACTAAAATCATTGTTAAACCTAATATAAAATAAAGAAAATAGAAAGAAATTACAAATACTAAAATGGATAAAATAGAGAATTTAGATTTTTAGAATTAACATAGCATAAAATTTAAATAAAATATATTTTCATGAAAGAAACTAGAATAAAGATTTCAATCGTAAAATATTTAGTAACATCTTACTTTTTGAAAACAGAAAATATAAAATTGAATAAAGGAAAATAATACCAAATCATAACTTGTTAACACGACTGGTGGGAATATTGAATTGGAAAAAAGAAACAAAAAATTAGTGAAAATAAATATAAAATGACTAAAACTAGTTTATTTAACTTCGGTACATTTGTAGAATTTTCATAATAATTTTTACATGTTTAAAAATATTTAATTTGAAAATTTAAAAAAATATATTTATATTTTTCTAACATTGAGAGTTGATAATTGGGATTAATAAAAGAAGATCAATTATAGTTGGGATTATTTATAGCTTGTGCATAGTTTGCATTAAAATTTGACCTGCTATACCAGGTTGTGGCAGGTTAGGGACTATTTCTGGAAAATGACCCTATAGTTGGGACCACCTAGGAGTAATCGATAATTGAGATTATTAATAGCGGACCAGTAATAATTGAGGTTATTATTTTCAATTTTTCCTTATAAGAATAATTTGTATCAATTAGCGATGACATCTATAAAAATAGATCATAGGGTGTTTTTTGTTAGTCCATTGACTTCTGTTTGTTATTCATCATCCAATCACTCACACAACTCACCAGGTGATTTTTTTTGGCAAATCTTTCTAACCTATTATATTTTTGTTTTGTTAAGGCCAGCATTCTTGAACTGGGGTGAGATTCGAACATGTGACATATTTTTTTGGAAATGTGACAGTGATGACATGAGACCACAAAGAACTTGGCAACTCTCCCGGTGATTTACGAAGTGAAATTTTCAAAAACATGTTCCTACTCTTCCTACCAATGTTTGAGAAAATGGAATTTCGAATATGTACGGGCTTTATAGAAATTTTAGGAAAATGCTTAGCTGAAGAAAGTCAGTGTGCATTAAGAAAGACAAGAAAATAAGAGAGATGAAAATGTCTTATTAACTTGAAAAATAGAAGGGCTGCTTGATAAAAGGAACATTCCATTAGAAAGTGGGGGTTCAGGTTTGGAGTATTAAATATGCATTAGTTTGAACCATCACAAATTCATGTGAACATCATTGTAAGATTTTGGTTTATTTTTACATATACTCATAATAGAGATTATCTGATGTGAAACAACAGATAAAAAGATATAGTGAATGATAAATGTTCAGTGGATTTTGAGTTAAGGAAGTGATCATATATATACATAGTTTTTTTAATACAAAAAGAAGATGATATAGTACTTAATCAACATCGATATGATAATGATAGGAAAATATTAAATATGAATACGATAGGAAGACATATTATGTGAGATGTAGTTTATTTGATGGTAAAGGATTAGACATATATTGTATATGTGAATTACTTTCTTTTGAGAAAAATCATCAAATTCAAGTGGACTTTAATTCTTGTATAAGGGCATTGCTCTAAATAGGATTAAAATGTTGTCAAAATTTCTAATTAAGACTCTAAGTTTATTATTATCTAAATAGGACTATAAATTACATTTTTTGCTTTTCATATAATTCAAATAAATTACCTATAATTCTCCCTCTCCATTGACCGGAGCTCCCCCTCCTCTGATTTCACCTCCTCCTCCTCTCATCCTCCACCTTTTTCTCTATACTAGTTATAAAATATGTCACTTTTTGAATCTTAGAATGCCATGGTTATTTGAAAAAGATCCACTTCTATGAATCTATGGTAGTATGTTTATTAAGATGACAATCTTACTTTGAAATTATAGTATTTGTAATGCCATATTTTTTGACCTAACCAGTTTGTGAAAGGATGACACTTTTTTACACTAATAATATAAAATGCATTATTATTTCTAATTTTTTATTTTCTTATCATAATTTAGATTTCCAATTTTAATTTTGATGAATACATATTTACCTATGAAAATTAGAATCTCAAATGCCCTTTTTTTCATCTAAAAAATTCGTTAATGTGTGTACATTATTTTTTGTATGTACATGTTTTGTCTAGTACTTGAAGAGGCGCAGATGAATATCCCTAGTGATTATCCGTATATATACTTACCTTGTATATTATTTTATTGTATTTATCATTTCCTAATTATTAGCCTTCCTTAGCTGGTAGCTGGACTATTGTAACTTGTATATAAGGCAGTTTGCCTCTTGAGAATAAACCACATGATTTACGATCCATTCACTCTGTTCCTTCTAATTTTATATGGTATTAGAGCAGGAGAATAATCTCTGAATTCTGCACGCAGAACCATGACGAACGATGGAGCAAATTCCTCGCATGGCGAACAACGAACTCACGGTGATCCAATTCGATGGAAAATAAATGACCCCGAATCACCTTACTTTCTGTCAAAATCAGATTACCCAGACATGAACATTTGCGGGTTAACCCTTAAAGGAGAAGGGAAATATCGCGAATGGTCAGTAGCAATGAAAAACGCGTTGCGTGCGAAATGGAAAACTGTTTTTATTGACGGCACCATCAAACGACCCACGACGAACAAAGACGATCTTGAAGACTGGCTGCAGGTTAACTCCATGATGGTGGGTTGGATCATGACAGCCGCAGATCCTTCCCTACGCTCAAATCTCACGTACATGGAGAGTGCCTATGATCTCTGGACTGACCTGGCAGAGCGTTTTGCAGTCGGTGATTCCATGAGAATATATGAACTCAAGGACGCCATACGAGGATGCAAGCAAAACAGGGAATCTGTCACCAGCTATTTTGGACGTTTGAAGACCTTATGGGATGACTACGAAGGCTATCGTAACATCCCTAAGTGCACTTGTGGCGGATGTACGTGCGGGCTGAACAAGGCATATCAAAAGCAGTTGGAAAGCGAGAAAACCCAGAAGTTTTTGCTTTGATAATGAAAATTTTGGTATGTTACCTTCCAACATTTTGAGTTCGGATGAACTGCCAGCATTCACGAGAATCTATCAGATGGTCACTCAGGAGGAAAGGCATATGAACATCATGCGGGGTCGTGAGGAACGACCCGAGGTTGTGGCTTTTGCTGCCCGACAAGGAAGCTACACAGATAGTCGAGAGGAGAAACCCAAATGCTCATTCTGCCATAAAGGGGGACATGATCTTGAAAACTGCTTCAAGAGAAGTGGAAAATATCCTAAATGGTGGTTTGACAATCCGGGCAGGGGGCGCGGAGCCAAAGGAAGAGGAACTGGACGAGGTCGAGGGAGAGCAGTTGCACATGCGATGCACTCTGAAGCTATAGGTGGAGGGAGTACGGCTACTGGGAACTCAACGGCAGAACTGCCTCGGGTGCTAGGGTTCACCAGTGAACAGTGACAGAGCTTCCTCAAGATGGTTATAAACTGTAAGGCGTCAACATCTGATGAAAAAATTTCAGGTAAGGGCATGACCATTGAATGGCTCTTAGACTCGGGAGCTTTATATCACATGACAGGAAACCGAGAACTTATAAAGAATGCTGAAAAGTTAGATCATGTACCAGTGACATTGCCCGATGGTGCGGTAACACAGGCAACACATATGGGTGGCGTGTCCTTGAGCCCCTCGATGGCGATTAAAATTGTTTTATTTGTCCCTAGATTAAAGTGTAACATGTTATAAATAGCCCGTTTGATAGATGATATGAATAGTTAGTGGTCCGATTGGATGTGTATTAAAGGAAACGTTATCTAAAAGGACACCCAGGACAGGGTATTTTATTGCGGTCTGATTCCAATCTTTCTTTGACTGTGTATTGTGATGCTGATTGGGTTAGCTATCCTATCACCCATCAATCTCTTACTGGTTATTTTGTGATGCTTAGGGATTCCCCTATTTCATGGCGCACCAAGAAAAAACAAGTAATCGTCTCCCGCTCCTCCGCTGAAGCGGAGTACAGGTCAATGGCCACTCTTACGTGCGAGCTCATTTGGCTAAAGAATCTCTCATGAGAGGACGAAACATATAGAGTTTGATTGTCACTTTATTCGGGATCATATTCAAGCCGGGACGATTCACGCTCTTCACAAATCTACAACTGAGCAGCCCGCTGATATCTTAACGAAAGCCCTGGGTTCACACCAATTTCATTATCTTCTTAGCAAGATGGGCATTTTGGACCCTCATGCTCCATCTTGAGGGGGGTGTTAATGTGTGTACATTATTTTTTGTGTGTACATTTTTTGTCTGGTACTTGAAGAGGCGTACGCAGATGAATATCCCTAGTGATTATCCGTATATATACATACCTTGTATATTATTTTATTGTATTTATCACTTCCTAATTATGAGCCTTCCTTAGCTAGTAGCCGGACTATTGTAACTTGTATATAAGGCAGTTTGCCTCTTGAGAATAAACCACATGATTTACGATCCATTCACTCTCTTCCTTCTAATTTTATAAAATTAATGTTTTCAAATCTAAAAATGCCAGGTTTTCTGAGAAAATGTCATTATTTTTATGAAATGGCATTATCGTTGGAGGTATGGAAGGACTTATCGAAGAGCATGGACGAATTCACTGAAGGGCGGCGGCAACAACAACGAGCTTGCTCGAGGGTGGATGAGGCCTAATCTCCACACTTCTCGCATAACATCGACATCGGCATAGGACTTGCTACAGCCCGAAAAAACTTTATAATTTGTTTCACTAAAGGTAATTTGTGTCATATTTATATATTTTAGTCTTATAAAACATAGAAGTAGTTACTTATAATATTTCTTATAATTACATTAGAAACGCTATTACCTTTACATAAATACATACGGTTTTGTTAGGTGTACACAAAATGTGTACACCTTTTTTGTACACTTGTCTGTCCCCCGCAGATAAGTGTACAAAAAAGGTGTACACATTTTGTGTAGACAACCCATCACCACCCATTTTTCAAAGGAAAAATTGATTGTAATAATCCCAACTATTGGTGATCTGCTCATAATAATCCCAACTATTGGTGATCTGCTCATAATAATCCCGACTATCGATTATTTAAGAATAATCCCAACTTTAGGGACCTTCCGCCAATAATGGTCCGACGTGACCAACTACAAATAAATTCCTATAGTTTCTATAGAGATATAGCAGGTAATCCCTATAAATAATTCCAAATTTTTATTTTTACGCTTAATTTCTATTAAAAAATCACTTGTTAGAGCAGGTAATATGTGGTCATGGACCATTATTGGTGGACGGTCCATATAGTTGAAATTATACAAAAATAATCAATAGTTGGGATTATTGTTAGCGTACTGGCAATAGTTGGGGTTATTATTTTCAATTTTCCCTTTTTCAAATACATAATGTATGGGAGTCTTTGTGGCATACTTGGCTACAACTTGGTGATTTTTTATAGGCTTTCTATTTTTAATACTCCCTCCGGTCCTAAATAAACTTCACACTTTCCTTTTTGGGTAGGTCCAAAATAAACTTCACACTTCTTCTTCCTTCCTTATTTGGCATATTATCTACATCAATAGTGCAAAACAGTGTCAAATAGTGTCAAACAGTGACACAATAATATACTTTACAATAAAGTCAAATTTATTTACTCAATTTGTGTGAAGTTTATTTAGAATCGAGTACAAGATCGCATGACGCACTTGTGATCCATACATTGGAAACAGGTGAATGCTTAATTAGATTCACGCGGGAATAGTCAATAATACGTTGCATGTCAAACTGTCAATTCAAAGACGTTAATGTGTCGTGCGTGAGCCGAAAGGCGCTAGAAGTTGGACCAAGAAAATTGCATGGGTGTGGACCGTGCCAGACTGCCGGGCCACTACATCCTTGTTTAATTATTCATCACTCATTAAGGGTCCGCTTGTTAGTTGCTACAACGGTTGAAAATTTTGAAGTGAAAGTATTTGATAGTAATATTATTTTGATTGAAGCGGCTGATTGGTATTGTTGCTGATTTTGCTGAAATTTATGAAATTCCGGTTGAAGTAGCTGTATTGGCTGATTCTGCTGATTCTTATAAGAATTATATTTAAAATATTTGGTATTAATAAATAAAATAGAAAATTATATGAAAAAATAGCTAAAATGATCCTCTACAGTAACTTCAGCCAATACAGCCAGAAAAGTAACTCCAACCTTACTTTTTCTGCTTATTACACAATTCAGCGCGCGAAATCAAAAGTTACGTGTTTGATGAAAAAACTGGTTGATAAACCTGATAAGCCGAAAAAAGGATTACCAAACGGGCTCTGAATGTGTAATTATCATAAAGGGTATTAATATTATTACACCGTTAAATAATGTGTCCAAGTGTTTCAATTACCAATTAAATAAAAAAAATGTTGAAGCGGGTGGATACCATAATACGAAGTATATAATATTTGTTGAAAGGCAATGGCTCGAATCCAATATGCAGCACGGTTCCAGCCTCCCAATGTGAGTTTTTTAGTTAAAGAACATGGATAAAAATGTCTTTTAATAACTTAATAGTAGAAAAATAGATTTCAGCTGAAAAAATAGTTATATACTTAATTTTTGAGTTGATCATAAAAACAGCCAGATCAACACATTGAATGAGTGTTTGGTTATTAACCTTTTTAACTGTTTTCTGATTTTCTCTATGTAAATATCAATTTTACCATTTCTGAAAAAAGATGACACTCCATTCCTAAGGATTCCTTAGCAACAACTGAACGGTTAATTGAGAGGATGAAAGTTGGGCTTTAATTATAAACTGGCAAATAGCGAGTGAGGTTTTGGGCCTTTTGGCTCTGTTGCTTCCGGACCTTATGCGTTTTTACATAGTAATATCCCATCACATGCAGATTCACAGTTGCCGGAATTGAAATCCAAAACTTACTCCTCTTGACACCCCCTACCTACAAGTTTAGCTACGCCCACTGGCCCAATTTTACAATTTCTACATCTTATTACCCGTATTGTGGGACTAAACTTAACCAAAATTAATAGACATAGTGACTGTTTTCTGACTAAAATAATGATTATGAATAAAAATGCAACTTTTACACAAAATGGTCATTGTAATAACTTGTAGTAATACACAACAAAAAATGAAAGTTGGGGGAGAGAGGGTACGGGTCGAGGTTGGAGACAGGTTGGGGAGGTTGGCGGTGGTGGATGAAGGTAGTGATGGCCAACGGTGGTGGTATGCAATGGCAGTGGCTAGCAGCGGTAGCTATTAGACCAGGTAACTGTAATTGATCCGTCTGGGTAATTGTAACAAGACAATCTGTGTTTCTGTAATTAATTGAGTCGAATAATTGTGATTGATCTTGTCAAATAACTATAATTGATTGGATCAGATAACTATAACTGATCAAGTCAAGTAGTTGTAACTGATCGGGCTGAGAATAGTTGTAGTTGGTCAAGCTGAGTAACTGTAGTACAGCTTTTTTGGAAACATTTAAAATTTATTAATATTAATGACAAAACCCATAATATTTTCTCTCAGTAAAAAAGAACTTCAATACGCCCAATAAAATATTAAGGCTATGTTGTTAGGATAAAATAAAATGCAAGAATATTTGAAATCCAATCAATTATTATACAATTAATGTCGTTAGGATAAAATGCTATAATGAGCTTGGACTGGAAAAATCAGTTTGATTTATTAGTGTAAAAAAATTATATACGATAGTAGATGGCAGTCATATCAAGAGCTCCTAACAAGAACCTCTGTACCGAATCCTTCATTTGAGATGCTTCCCGGTGAATTTTTTTGATGAAATTTGTGAGCATGTTTTCAATGAACAGAATTATTTCACCAAATTTTAGCTTAACATTCAATTAAGAAGTCGGTCAAATAAATTATTGAAAAACACTGCCTTGTTTCCAAATTGATTTGCAAAGTCAATTTTTTAGGTCAAACAGTTTCATTTTATTCACTCTCCTTCGCAAGGAAGGCACTCTCCCATCCGGTTAGTAGCCCCACCTGCTAAAAATAGCCCATCACTGTCCCGAACTACCCATCCTAGCCCTGTAGACCCTGCCCCTATCTTCCTTGCTGCATCAATGTTACGTTTCAGCCTTCCAATAGAGAGGATTATTAACTTTAAAATTGTCGACAAAAAAATGTCGACTTTCCAAACATAGACTCAAACTATGAAGTTCTTTAACATGCAGCTGTTTAGAAAATTTTGTATACTCTAATCCACAAAATTTATATCCAAGATTAGCACTAATATCAACCAACAATTGAAAGAGAATTAACTGCATTCATAAAAGAAGTTATCTGCATCTTATCCTTTTGAATGCCATCAGGAGCACAAATTCCGCTGCTGACGTCAACTCCATGTGGGCTAAGAGTAGAGAGAGCTTCACATACATTTCCCGGGTAAATCCCTCCGGCCAAAAGCCATCCGCATTTATTTCTGATAGGAGGTAGCTTAAATGCTGCCCAGTTAAATCCCTTACCGCTGAAAAGTAAATATTTTTTCACAAAAAGATAAAATGTCTGGCGAGCTTTTAATCAAGGACAAATTCTTTATAAAAGAAATCAAGCACGTTTGGATTTCAGTACACTGGAATTTCAAACAGAACCTAGGCTCGGTTTGAATGATGAATACTAAACTATTGTAAAAAACACACTTTTTCGTGGAATATAAATGCTCTACGTATACAATCATGTTTTTTTTACTCCAGGGGGTCTGAGTGAGGGGGTCTGGGGGGTCTGGAGTAATCAGGGTTGAAACTCACTCCATTGAGTTTCGAACTCGAGACCTCCTACTAGGCACGGTAACTCACAACCAGCTGGGCTGGAATGCTTGGTTATAAAATCATGTTTAATACACACAATATCATGAAAAGGATCAACTCCTTCAAAGAAAATATTAAGTTTTACAGAAAATGCAGAGTTAACCAGATACCTTTTCCAATTGGACAGCGTTTTTTCTGCCAGCCAAACACAAGAAGAACTGGAAAATATTTTCGAGGAAAATATATATTTCCCTTTGATCAACCAGAACTTTGGGGTATGAGCTTCCATTTTTATGTTTAGGAGTTTAAAAAAATGGAAGAATGGTTTTGGAGTATGCTGTAATCCTTTAAATGATCAACTTTTAAGTTTCCTTACATCGGGGGCTTTTGAAGCATAACTAAATAAATGACAACTTTGATCGAATTTAAATTTAATACAGTTTTAACTATTTTATTTTCCATCATTTGCAATGGAGCCAAAGATTCATTATTTTTTGACTTGAGATTATGATGGAATAAAGCAAAATGGCTCACTGAACTGTCTGCGCTTCTTTGTTATGGAGCAGCAGTTAGTCAATGCAATTTTGGACGCGATTTTCAGTATGGGTCATCCGGAAACGGTCTCTCTGTGCTTGGGGTAAGACTGCGTAAATCCGACCCCCTTACCCCACCGTAGGTGGGAACCTTTGCGGCACTGGGGTAAATTAAAATGATGAAAATGATGACACTTTTAACTATTTTAATACTTCGTACCCATGATACTGTTTAATTATAATTCCTCCATAGTGTCCCCTTTCCAAATTTGTAACTCCCAAACAAGAAGGATTTTATTCAATTCCCCCTCCCTTCCCCTCCTACAGCTCTTTAAAACCTTCCCTTGCCTCCCCCCAAACTCCCAAGGTGTAAATCCCTTTAAGTTTCTACCTTGTTTCATTCTTTATAAGGTGTAAAAAATTAAATTTGCTTGATGAATGAGCAATGCGAGCACAGGAAAAGCATAGAGTGATACCTGCCCCCTCCTGCACTATCAACTAGAACCCAATCAACCAATGATGACTCTTCATCAGAAATCGAGTTCAAAAGTTCTCCATCCCCATTCACGTGAAGAACATATATTACTTTCTTTTCCTTCACCAGAATTGGAAGAGCAACTCGTGAACCATTCCCATGAAGCTGCATTTCCAAGTTATGCGATGAAGAGCAACTGAAGGTCAGTTGGACACATAGATATTTGATCAAATTATATTTTTATTATATAAAGGTTTAGAAGATCTAAACAGAGGTATGCAAACAATATAACAACTAATGTATTTCACATTTTCACTTTCCTTTGCATTTTTCAAGGTAAACCTGAACAGGAAATAACTGTCCAATTTTTTACAGTGCTAAGAATCATTTACATGAACCAATCTGAAGATATCCTAATGGTCCATTCAGATCCAAAAAATTCTGCGGAAAGATAATGTGAAGGAAAAACCAAACATAAATTATAGTTTTGCTTTCTTTCCTTTCTATGACTTATTTACCTGAACCAATCCAAACACACCCCAAGTAATTCAAGAAGGCAGGTGATCAATATCAAAGTGTTATTTACCTGAACCAATTCAAGGTCTGCTGCATCAGACGCTTTAAGTATGGTATGAGCATTGTCATCTACAAACACCCCAACAGGCTTTGCTCCATATCCCCTAGCAACTTTAGAAATCTCCTTTGCTACCGTGAGTGAAACAGAACGCTTTGAGTTAGGCCATATAATCATGCCTATATAGTCTGCACCAGCTTCTGCTGCCCAAGCCGCATCTCTGGCTGATGTGATGCCACACATTTTGACCACATGTCTTCTTTCTTGTTGACCATTGTGAGCACATGATACTTCAATTGGTCGCTTTAATATGCATTTTCTGCTAGTAAAAGTTTTTGTTCTAATAGAGTGTGTTCCTCTACTTGATAGATCTGCATAGTGATAAAACCATTAAGGATGAGATAGGCTACTTGTCTATGCAAAGATAGCATATTTTATATTAAGTCCTAGATTTTTTTGTTACACATCCTGATAATTTATGTCGTTTTCTTTTTACTCTTGTGTCTACCTCATTTACAGGAATGAATAATAAAAAAATATAACCCAATGCATCTTGCGCTGAGAGAAAAGAGCTGCAGCAATTTGGTACACAAAGCACACATTCAATGATTGACAAGTTTCACTGTTCCAACTACACACAAAAATGACTCTATCTAAAATTTCCTCCCACCAATTTCTCCATATACGTTTTACACTCCATTCGGCTATATGGGTCGAACCCTTAAAGTGGTAGAAAAAGGGAACAAGTGCAAAGAATAAATAAGTTGTTTAACCTATTAAAATACAAAGGAAAATGAAACTTGATTATGACTTCATAATAATTTGCATATATTTAGATTTTGTGTCTATAAAATACAGTGCAAGTATATACATAGTACATAAAATGAGTACAAAGTATATGTAAAATTATTTATTCAGTTAAAACAAAAAAATACAGTGATGGGATTTAAAAAAATTCTTTTCAAATTTCTTTCCCTACTCTTTATGGGTTATAAATGGATTCTTAATAAAGGGAAGAAATAAGATTCAGTTACTCTTCTGATGGGATTAGTCAACTCATTCTTACCAAAATAATAGGGGAATATAATATAAACAGAAAAACTGGGGTTTAAACATTTGAAGGTTCTTGATTAGCTCTAGTGAGCATGTTTCTAGTTTGAGTTTCAGCTAGAACTCTAAATTTGCTCCCAAAACAAAATTACCTACTATGCAGGAACTGTATTTGCAAGTAATACGAATCCTATAAAACACTTCTCAAAGTCTAAGTAGATCTTTGACAAACAACTATGGCGCATTTTAGCCCATTCATTTGTGTTTTTCAAATAGTTTTTGCCAAACACACCAACACACACACAAAAACCTGAAGGCGACGGTAAAAAAGCAAAACGAATATACTGACCGCAAACACAGAACATCTCCTTCCTGCACAGTTCAAAACTCTTCTCCTGCACTTTGGAGAACTAAAATATTTTCCAGTTTTTCTTGTGTTTAGCGGCAGGACAGAACATATCCTTGTAGTGTTGTGACCGCTGCCATTTATAATTAGTAATCCGTTTACATTTTATTATTAATTCTATAATGTATTTACTTTAGTAAGTGAACTTGTGGATTTACTGAGGGTATTGTGACCGTTATTTTTACTGTGAGAATGGGCCAGCGGCAAAGGGGGTATTCACTCACGCGTTGGTTGCTTAATACCCGGGAGAGAGATAAAGACGATTTTATTGGTGCGCATCCTGGGTTTTTGCAACCGCATTTCCCATATTTATCTTGACTTGATGTTTTGTTTCATTGGTGCGCGATTTTAGCGCCATCGTTATCGCCGCATGAAATTACCCCTGTGCCATGTTCGTCGCCGTGCGCCGTGATTACTATGGTTATGATAAAGACGAAAAGATTCTAGAGTCGGTAGCTCAAGCCTTACTGTCTAAACGCGACAATGAATACACCTACGTTGGAGGAATTCTTAAGTACCAGGGCAGAATAGTGGTCGGAGGGTCAAATAATATCAGGGACAAAATTATGCAAACTTTACACACGACTGCGGTAGGGGGCACTCAGGGGTTCACACCAGTTATCTAAGGGCAAAAGCAGTGTTTTATTGGCAAGGCATGAAGAGGGATTTTGCAGAATTCATATCAAGTTGTGATATATGCAAGCAATGTAAGGACGAGGCAGTGGCCTACCTGGGGCTGCTGAAACCACTGGAAGTCCCTTCGATTCCATGGACTCAAATATTCATGGACTTCATCACTGGGCTAACAATGTCAGCGGGCAAGAATGCTATTTGGGTCATAGTTGACAGATTGACCAAATATGCCCATTTTATTTCCTTATCTCACCCCTATACCGCTGAAAAGCTAGCTGACATATATGTAAAGCAGATTTACAAACTTCATGGGGCTCCGGGATCCATTGTAAGTGATTGAGATGTGGCATTCCAGAGCTTGTTTTGGCGGGAGCTTTCAAGTTGCAGGGAACCAAGTTGAATATGAGCACGGCTCACCATCCCCAGAGTGACGGGCAAACTGAGAGACTTAACAGATGCCTGGAAACATATTTAAGGTGCATGAGTCATTCTCATCCCAGGAAATGGAATCAGTGGTTGCATCTTGCAGAATGGTGGTATAACACATGCCATCACCATTCTATAAAACAAACCCCGTTCAAGGCCTTACACGGCTATGACGCGCCTCAACTGTCCACTGGCCCCTACTTAGATTCTACCAACTCTTTGGCAGCAAGAAATGTGCAAGAAAGACAACAAATGTTGCAAGATTTGAAGGAACACATGACGCAAGCTCAAGAAAGGATGAAAAAATATGCCGATTCCAAAAGATCAGAGAGGACATTTGAAGTTGGAGACTGGGTTTTTCTTAAGATTCAGCCGTTCAAACAGGGAAATACATTATTGAGAAGACCAACTAAATTTTCTATCAAGTACTTTGGACCATTCCAGGTATTAGCAAGGTTGGAAATGTGGCTTATAAGTTGCAGTTGCCTCCAAACTCAAGAATGCATGATGTTTTCCATATATCACTACTTAAGAGAGAAAAAAAAATACCATGCTAATACTACTGTACCTGAGGTAGACCAAAATGGTTATCCCCGGGTGTACCCACAGGCTGTTTTAGGGACAAGAATGGTCCAGGCACGCAAGAATGTGGAAAAGGAGGTTTTAATTCAGTGGAGCAATCTGTCGCCAGAGGAGGCTACTTGGGAGCGAGCTAATGTGATGAAGGTGCAGTATCCCGAATTTAAGTTGCCTTGAGGACAAGGCGTTTTTCAGGGAGAGGCTGTTGAGAGCAGAAAAATAAAAATCAACGGGGTAAAAATACCGTTGCCCAGAGCCAAAAGGCTAAACTCCAATTTTATTCCAATATAATAAGAATGAACCCTGACGAGGAGTATAAATAGCCTTCTACAAGAAACCCTTATCAAGCCTGAATTAATTAAATCCTAATTAGGCTCATATTAACTCTACTAAGTACTCTACTAATCAAAGGCCCAGACCAAAACATAACATTAACTTAATAATAGTAAATAAACTATAAAGACAGCCTGTAACCGGCCCACGGAAGTGGGCTCAAGCCCGGTCCCGTCCCATGCTCTTCCCGCTACCTATCAAAGGCAATGTTGTGACCACTGCCATTTTTAATTAGTAATCTGTTTACATTTTATTATTAATTCTATAAGGTGTTCACTTTAGTAAGTGAACTTGTGGATTTACCGAGGGTATTATGACCGTTATTTTTACTGTGAGAATGGACCAGCGGCAAAGGGGTATTAACTCATGCCCCATGCTCTTCCTGCTACCTATCTATCCATCCTCCTTCAAATTAACCTTGTCCTCAAGGTTGAAATCTCGCGGATCGGGGATTGAAATTTCCAGCCATAGAATAGACCGGAAAATATCCTTCATCTCTTTCCCGAACTCTTTCCTGACCTGTTATTTCACAGCATTCATGTTGTTGGAGGTCCAACTCTTCATCCTCCTCAGCTATCATTACCCGCAACTGCTTAAAGGGACAGTCATGCCCCGGTGTAAATGGTTTCTTACACCTAAAGCATAATCCGTTCGCCCTCAATTCTGCGAACTCCTTTGGCGGAAGACGAGTGAACTGAGAGTGTGTCGCAGCCCAGACAACCCTGACTTCGTCCTCGCTGCCCAATGTCTTTAGGAAAGCTGTCATTTGATCTTCTTAAGCTGCCACCACTTATGACCGTGCTGTTACTACCACTTGGGTGCGAAAAACTGCCTGAACTCAAGTCCGTGTTGTAGGGTTGAATTTCCCAATCTCCATCTTGAAAAGACAAGTTGCCCTCAATATCTCTGACCAAATCCATTGCAATGTCCAGGCTGTTTGGCCGCACCAATCGTAAGGATCCCCGAATTGGTCCCTTCAGCCTGTTCATGAAATACCCCAGATAATGATCATCAGACAGCCCAGGAACCTGACTGGCCAACTGCACAAAAAGGTTATTTTATTCTTCTATGGTTCCCAACTGTTTGGCCCTAGACAGCTGTTCAAATCGGTTGCCCTTGAACCATAAATCAAAACGGGCCACCAGTGCATCAGCGAATTCCTCCCAAGTCAGGCCCGGTTTCCGAGCCTTCAACCAGGTCAACCAGTACAGAGCAGCCCCTTCCATGGCTACCGTAGCTGCCATCACTTTGCTTCCAGGTAGGGTTTGATGAATTTCAAATTGTTGCTCAGCTCTGGCCACTTATCCGATGGGATCTTCGCCGTCAAACAAGGGCAGTAAGGAGGTGGTTAAGCTGCGCGACCCACTGCCGACCATGTGTGCTGATGCGGCGTCGCCGACTGACGCCGGTTTTTTTTCCGGCAGTGTCGTGGCCCATGTGAGTGCAGCGAGTGACGCTGCAATCTCAGTCAGCTGCGCGTCGAGCTTCTAATTCATTAAGGCTTGCTCAGCTTCTACCTCTGTTATACGATCAGTGTTTGATCTCGTCATTCCGGCGGGACAGGATCCGGCAGGTCGAACCAATTGTTGAGAGCAAAAAAATAAAAATCAACGGGATAAATCGTTGCCCAGATAATCAACGATAAAAATACCGTTTCCCAGAGCCAAAAGCCTAAACTCCAATTTTTTTCCAAGATAATAAGAATGAACCCTGGCGAGGGGTATAAATAGCCTTCTACAAGAAACCCTAATCAAGCCCGAATTAATTAAATCCTAATTAGGCACATACTAACACTACTAAGTATTCTACTAATCAAAGGCCCAAACCAAAACATAACATTAACTTAATAATAATACATAAACTATAAAGATAGCCGTAACCGGCCCACGGAAGTGGGCCCAAGCCCGGTCCTACCCCATGCTCTTCCCGCTACCAATAAGAGGCAATGTTGTGACCACTGCCATTTTTAATTAGTAATTTGTTTACATTTTATTATTAATTCTATAATGTATTTACTTTAGTAAGTGAACTTGTGGATTTACTGAGGGTATTGTGACCGTTATTTTTACTGTGAGAATGGGCCAGCGGCAAAGGGGGTATTCACTCACGCGTTGGTTGCTTAATACCCGGGAGAGAGAGAAGAAGCAGCAGTTTTTGGTGTGTAATGAGGTAATCCTTTTACCCACCTGTCGTCTTCCCCAATTTTCCTCTCTCGCTGAATTATTCTCTTATTATTGCCATATCAGGAGGTCAAACACCAGCTACCAGGCCAGATTGAAGCTCCCAGGCCGCCGTCCATTGCAAGCAGATTATGTCGGTTGCTCTTTTAATACGTTGATGTTATAGTAATGTAATGGCATACTGCTATTGCTAGTCTTGGGTCACAACATTTGGTATCAGAGCCCAGATTAAACTATTCAAGCGTGACTCAAGCCATGACAACTGAAACTCGGATGAAGGATCTATTTGACACTCAGAGGAAACATGGAGAGGAATTGCAAGGAATTCATAGGGAGTTTGCCTCTGTCAACGATCATTTGGTAAAAGTGGATAAGGGATTGGCTACTATCAAACGACAATTGGAGGCTCTGATGGCGATGCAACAAACATATATGGCCAAGGATAAGGAGAAGGTAAATGATGAGGACATGGTAGTCACGGCGCACAGCGAAGGACATGGCGCATGGGTAATTTCACGCGGCGATGGCGCACCAATAAAACAAAACATCAAAAAAAATTAAGCATAACCTATAGACAATACACGTGTATGACTTAACCACCAATTAAAGAGTGAAATTGTTAAATAACCAAATTAATACCAAAAGTAATCCAAATCAAACCAACTTAATATCCATAACCAGTTCATGTCTAAAAAAACTGAATCTAAAGTTTGATCTGTTGACTAATACTCATAATCACCCCCTCTTCGCTCACGTGTAGTCATCAGGCCCATCTTACTCGGATAAGAAAGGAATTTCTTCCTCATTCATTTCACTATAAGAAGGATCTTGTATTGTATCCATGTCATTTTCATCACGCATCATTTTCATTAACGTCAGCTGCTTCTTGCACAACATCCCAATTTTCAATTTCATCTGCAGTCTCATCAATCCATTCATTGCAATCCTCTAGATATATCTTCATTTTCTTAAAAGTCAGATCCTGAAGACGCTGGTTTTGCCGAATGTAAACTAGATCATTCATTTTTTGGCAACAACTTTGTTCTTTTCTTGCTTTTGACATAATTTTAAGAGATAGTATATTAGTTAATCATTTATTATTTGTGGAATAAAAATGACTTGGCTGAAAAAACTTACATTCTCAAATGCGCTCCAATTTCTTTGACATCCGGATGCATTACATGTCAAACTTAGGATGCACACTGCAAGATGTTGCAGAGGGGGAGAAGAAGAGCCATTTGAAAGCCACCAATCAACTGCATTTCTCATATTTAGTTAAATAGATTAAATTTCATATTTATTTCGAAACTTGTATTAATAATGGTAATTAATAAAATAAGTTTCATATTTGTATAGAAGATTACCGGGGGGTTGTTTGTCTCGATTGTTGATGGCCAACTTAGTCTTAAAGCTGCCTCTTGCACTTGTGTAGTTGGAAATCTCATTTGAGAACTCTACACTTTCACCGATCTCTGTGGGTAGCATCTTCTCCACGCACTTGATAAATCCATCACAGACTTCCGCATCACCCAACACTCTTCGTGAATTTGGATAAAAGAATTGTGGATTTAAATAATACCCTGCGACATGTAATGGAGAGTGAAGATTCTCATCCCAACGCTTATCAATAATCCTCCATGGCGGCTTGTATTTTTCTTCTCTCCCTCTAAATGTGTTTTCGATTCCGAGTTTTACTCTCGCCATAGCTTCATATATGAAACCCATGGGAGGCAAATCTTCATTCACAATTCTCAACACCTTCACAAGAGGCAAAGAAATCTTCATAACAAAACCCACACTTCGCCAAAATGTTTGGTGGTAAACTTCATCACAACATGCTTTGCCCTCTATCGTTTTCGCAAAGTCACTTTCAAACCACTTTGGCGAATTAAACATCTGCCTCAAGGCGTGTTTTTGAGTGAGGAGGCTTTGAAGAGCCAAGAAGTTAGTTGCAAATCTAGTTGCGGCTGGTTTCACAAACTCCCTCCCGTTGGTGAATATTTTCATCAAATCCAAAACAAGAGTGTGATTTTGAATGTAGGTAGTAATACCTTGGGCCGTCTTGACCGTTTTTTATACAAATGGAATTTTCTTAGAAAAATCCTCAAGAATAAGGTCAAGAGAGTGTGCAGCCGAACCGGTTGTGAAGATGTGTGGATATCTTTGCTCAATCTTCCTCTTAGCTAACCCATAATTTTTAGCATTATCTGTCACAACTTGTATCACACTTTGCGGCCCGATTTCTTGTAGTAGTACTGTCCCTATTCCCGTCATGCTAGCGTCAGTCTCCACTATAAAAGGTTCCTTGAATTTTGGCAGAGCTAAAACAGGTGCTTCGGTCATTCTTTTCTTAAGTGTCTCAAATGCCTCATGGGCGGTCTGGTTTCAAACGAATTGTCCCTTCTTCGTCAAGTCAGTTAAGGGCTTGGCCATGCTTCAAGAAATCGGGCCGCAAAGTGTGATACAGGTTGTGACAGATAATGCTAAAAATTATGGGTTAGCTAAGAGGAAGATTGAGCAAAGATACCCACACATCTTCACAACCGGTTGTTCTGCACACTCTCTTGACCTTATTCTTGAGGATTTTTCTAAGAAAATTCCAATTGTAGCAAAAACGGTCAAGACGGTCCAAGGTATTACTACCTACATTCAAAATCACACTCTTGTTTGGGATTTGATGAAAGAATTCACCAACGGGAGGGAGTTGGTGAAACCAGCCGCATTCAGATTTGCAACGAACTTCTTGACTCTTCAAAGACTCCTCACTCAAAAACATTCCTTGAGCCAGATGTTTAATTCGCCAAAGTGGTTTGAAAGTGACTATGCGAAAATGATAGAGGGCAAAGCATGTTGTGATGAAGTTTACCACCAAACATTTTGGCGAAGTGTGGGTTTTGTTATGAAGATTTCTTTGCCTCTTGTGAAGGTGTTGAGAATTGTGGATGGAGATTTGCCTCCCATGGGTTTCATATATGAAGCTATGGCGAGAGCAAAACTCGGAATAAAAAACACATTTAGAGGGAGAGAAGAGAAATACAAGCCGTTGTGGAGGATTATTGATAAGCGTTGAGATGAGAATCTTCACTCTCCATTACATGCCACGGAATATTATTTAAATCCACAATTCTTTTATCCAAATTCACGAAGAGTGTTGGGTGATGCGGAAGTCTGTGATGGATTTATCAAGTGCGTGGAGAAGATGCTACCCACAGATATTGGTGAAAGTGAAGAGTTCTCAAATTAGATTTCCAACTACACAAGTGCAAGAGGCAGTTTTAAGACTAAGTTGGCCATCAACAATCAAGACAAACAACCCCTGGTAATCTTCAATACAAATATGAAACTTATTTTATTAATTAACATTATTAATACAAGTTTCGAAATAAATATGAAATTTAATCTATTTAACTAAATATGGGAAATGCAGTTGATTGGTGGCTTTCAAATGGCTCTTCTTCTCTCCTCTGCAACATCTTGCAAGTGTGCATCCTAAGTTTAACATGTAGTGCATCCGGATGTCAAAGAAATTGGAGCGCATTTGAGAATGTAAGTTTTTTCAGCCAAGTCATTTTTATTCCACAAATAATAAATGATTAACTAATATACTATCTCTTAAAATTATGTCCAAAGCAAGAAAAGAACAAAGTTGTTGCCAAAAAAATGAATGATCTAGTTTACATTCGGCAAAACCAGCGTCTTCAGGATCCGACTTTTAAGAAAATGAAGATAAGTCTAGATTATCTAGAGGATTGCAATGAATGGATTGATGAGGCTGCAGAGGAAAATGAAATTAAAAATTGGGATGTTGTGCAAGAAGCAGCTGACGTTAATGAAACAACTCACTAGAGCATCGACATCAACACCCATCAGCTGCGTGATGAAGATGACATGGATACAATACAAGATTCCTTCTGATAGTGAAATGAATGAGGAAGAAATTCCTTTCTTATCTGAGTCAAATGAGGAAGATGAGTCTGATGACTAGACGTGAGCTAGTTGGGGGATGACTATTAGTCAACAGATCATAAAGATCAAACTTTAAATTCAGTTTTTTTAGACAGTAACTAGTTATGGATATTAAGTTAGTTTGATTTGGATTATTTTTGGTACTACTTTAGTTATTTAACAATTTCACTCTTTAATTGGTGGTTAAGTCATACACGTATATTGTCTATAGGTTATGTTTAAAAAATTTTGATGTTTTGTTTTATTGGTGCGCCATTTTAGCGCCATCGCCATCGCCGCGTGAAATTACCCCTGTGCCATGTCCGTCGCCGTGCGCCGTGACTACTATGGTTATGATAAAGACGAAAAGATTCTGGAGTCGGTAGCTCAAGCCTTACCGTCTAAAGGCGACAATGAATACACCTATGTTGGAGGAATTCTTAGGTACCAGGGCAGAATAGTGGTCGAAGGGTCAAATAATATCAGGGACAAAATTATGCAAACTTTACACACGACTGCGGTAGGGGGGGCATTCAGGGGTTCACACCAGTTATCTAAGGGCAAAAGCAGTGTTTTATTGGCAAGGCATGAAGAGGGATTTTGCAGAATTCATATCAAGTTGTGATATATGCAAGCAATGTAAGGACGGGGCAGTGGCCTACCTGGGGCTGCTGCAACCACTGGAAGTTCCTTCGATTCCATGGACTCAAATATCCATGGACTTCATCACTGGGCTAACAATGTCAGAGGGTAAGAATGCTATTTGGGTCATAGTTGATAGATTGACCAAATATGCCCATTTTATTTCCTTATCTCACCCCTACACCGCTGAAAAGCTAGCTGCCATATATGTAAAGCAGATTTACAAACTTCATGGGGCTCCGGGATCCATTGTAAGTGATTGAGATGTGGCATTCCAGAGCTTGTTTTGGCGGGAGCTTTCAAGTTGCAGGGAACCAAGTTGAATATGAGCACGGCTCACCATCCCCAGAGTGACGGGCAAACTGAGAGACTTAACAGATGCCTGGAAACATATATAAGGTGCATGAGTCATTCTTATCCCCCGAAATGGAATCAGTGGTTGCATCTTGCAGACTGGTGGTATAACACATGCCATCACCATTCTATAAAACAAACCTTCAAGGCCTTATACGGCTATGACGCGCCTCAACTGTCCACTGGCCCCTACTTAGATTCTACCAACTCTTTGGCAGCAAGAAATGTGCAAGAAAGACAACAAATGTTGCAAGATTTGAAGGAACACATGATGCAAGCTCAAGAAAGGATGAAAAAATATGCCGATTCCAAAAGATCAGAGAGGACATTTGAAGTTGGAGACTGGGTTTTCCTTAAGATTCAGCCGTTCAAACAGGGAAATACATTATTGAGAAGACCAACTAAATTTTCTATCAAGTACTTTGGACCATTCCAGGTATTAGCAAGGTTGGAAATGTGGCTTATAAGTTGCAGTTGCCTCCAAACTCAAGAATGCATTATGTTTTCCATGTATCACTACTTAAGAGAAAGATAAAAAACAAATACCATGCTAATACTGCTGTACCTGAGGTAGACCAATTTTAATTCGGCGAGGAGTAAAATTGGCTCTGGGCAACAGTATTTTTACCGTTGCCCAGATAATCAACGATAAAAATACTGTTGCCCAGAGCCAATTTTATTCCAAGATAATAAGAATGAACTCTGGCGAGAAGTATAAATAGCCTCGTACAAGAAACCCTAATCAAGCCCTAATTAATTAAATCCTAATTAGACTCATACTAACTCTACTAAGTACTCTACTAATCAAAGGCCCAAACCAAAACATAACATTAACTTAATAATAATAAATAAACTATAAAGACATCCCGTAACCGGCCCACGGAAGTGGG